CTTTTGAGCAAAACCAACATAAAATCAATAAACTTTGCAAAAGTGAACCAATAAACTTAACAGCTGACAAAACTTCTAACACCTCAAGTGACCCCAAGTCCGCCCGCACACCTACAACATAGAACATCAAACTAAAAGTTTGCTTTACAAATTTCATGCTCCAAAAGAAACAAAAAAATCAACCTAAGAAATGCATAAGAGTACATGATTTCAAATTGACATAAATATACGTACGTATATACAAATAAAAATTGAGATGAGAATTCAAAAAGAAACTGGGCAATCGTCAAGGCATTTGTACGTAGGGCAGAAGAGGAGAGGGGTGCCAAGGGGAGCGCAAGGCAGTGAAATGAAGTGAATTCAAGTGAAGTTGTCCGTTGACGTTGGCTCTTGTTAGTCTTTGACTTTGACAGTTTGCCGGTCGTTGCACAGCCTTTTTTATCGTTATGCTTAGTTATTGTTGCTGTTGTTGTTGTCCAATTGGCAACACGAAACGATTGAAGCGAACTTTTTGTAAACAGCGTCGAAAAGTAAGAAATGTGCAATATTAAATATGGTTGGCACTAAAAAAGTCACGGCTGGGCCAGCTATTTGAAATTAGTTCGCTATTAGCCCTTTTGTAAAACTGACGACGTGATTAGCGACCCGGTTTTTGTGGCCATTGTCTGGGACAGCACACGTGCGAGGCGTTGAAGGGCGTTCGGTGGAGAGCCCAGTTGCTAGTAAAAAAAAGCACCGTTAGTTGGGTTCGTTGCCATAGCTAATGCAGTTTTTTTCGTCTTCTTCTTTTTCTTTTTGTTAGCATTAGGGAAAACTGTTTTATTTTGGCAAGCTTTGCTCTTTAATCTCACAAGTCGCGCACTGATTTTGCAATTTGCATGCAGCGACCGCTAGATGGCGCCAGCAACGGCACGTATCTGCCGCACTCCCGAACAGCAACAATCAATATTTGAGTTTCCATTCGCATTTCCAGGCAGCAGTAGCTACCAAAAAAACTTACGCAAAATTTTGCGCAAACATAAGTTTCATAATTTACTCAGCTTTTAATAAAAATTTACAATTGGCATTTCGCATTTCGCATTCAGATATTTCTGCAAGTGGCATTTTAAATATCTGCTCACATGTCGTATGCGTAATATCTGTACGCACTTTAAACTGAATTTGATATGGCAAAAGCCAATCGTTATTTAATACGCTCAATTGACATTGCTCTAGAAATTGATACGAGTAGCAAAAGTTTTAATTTACAAAATTGCAAAGGATTTCCATTTAGCATTTAGAAATTAAATCTGTTAGCATTCAATAGCTCATGCAGACAAATATCGAAATATAGATATATTTGTGAAAAGTAATGAACTTTCGCTTGAGCATTCTGATTTGCATCTAAGCACAGATTCCTTGCGGAAAATGGAGACTGGCAAGAGGAGGAGCCATTGGTAGAACAGAGGCAGGCGCTTGGGAATATATGGGGGTTTGTTTTTAATATTAATAGAAAAGAAAGTTTAATTATTGAAAGTGTAACCAAGCTTCACTAGACTTTGCTATTGATAACACACTTGAATAGCATAAGCCTAACTACATCTACTACATCACCTTCACGTTAATAAGCGCCTATTCATAATAGATATATTGAGATTAATTACTAAAAGACGTTGGCGCAGTAGAAAACAATCAGTATCTCTTAATTCCGATAATTTTACAATAGTGTACCGAGCTCCTCTTAACATCTTGACAGCAGTATAAACTGCCATTATTAATCCCAACAATAAACTCGATTTCCTTTTACCTCTGCTCGCCTTTGTTTGAGCCCCTTTTGTTGCCTGTCACTGTCAACGCATTGATATCGATAACGCTCACTGGGCCAACACGCCCACTTTGGGCGTTTTAAATGCATGCATGCATGCGCACACACACACACACACACATACACAAACACGCTTACTTTCACGAACGCACACATGCTCAGAAAGATACTTATATGCATACATTCATTGCATAAAGCCCCAAACAACTTTTTTATGCTCCATTGTGTTATAAATATTCATAAAAGCGCGCCATTTTTCCTTTTTTTTCGCCTTTTGCGGGTACCCGCCCACAACTAAAGCCTTGATTTCTTGCATTTCGCTTTGTTGCTATACTATGCTATACTATGCTCATGCCAAATACCTAGCCAATATGCCACGCCCCGCCCCGCCCGTTGAACGCCTTTCGCTTTGCTGCAACCGCAAACTATGCTTCTAATGCCGCGCTGGCATAAATTTAAAGCAGCAGCTGCGGTTTTTCACTGCTCGCTCGATATTTGCACGTTGAATGCGGTGCGAAGCGGAGTGGTCCTGACGGGGGCAGCGGCGATGGCGGGGGGGATGTTTACATGTTACACTGATACCAGCAGCAGCAGTAGTAGCAGCAGCAGCAGCTACAAACTAACCGGGTCCCGGCTTTAAGGCAAAGCATTTTATGCTGCTAATTGATTTTTCAAACCCAATTTTGTTTTTACTGCATTGCTGGCTCTGCGCTTTTGTTTGGCATTCAATTAACGGGAATTTGCATTTTATCTAAAAACACACTATATCAATATTCACACACCCACACACACACACACACATACATATATACCGCTTACTCTTAACCCCAGCATTGAGCACAATTTGATCGTAAGTTGCACAAAAATATTCTTTTTAAGCTGCGAACTTCTGCTTCTGGCACAATTAAGCAGCATATTTGGCATTGCCGAGTGCTAAATCAATAAGCAGGTAAAACATTGTTTATCTAATAGTGTGAACATTTTTTATTACAACACTTGACTTTGATCTTTGAAATCAATCAACTATGCGAATGTTTACTAGCTGGCGTCATTGCAAACAATTCGTCGCACAAATCAAATGAAAACGTTATAAAATATAATTGAAAACTTAACTAGGGAGCTGAGATCTCTACAAGGTAAAAATCTACGAGGCATAAGCTCAAATTGTTCAATGATATTAGTTATAGAAATGCCAGAACTGTTATGAAAAGAAACTGACATTGATTTCCTTATGCAATTATCAGATATGTGTCAAAATATGTATAGATTTTCACTTAAACCATGACTCTAACTAAACTATTCAATTGTTTTACATTGCTTTGACGCTTTTTAGATTTGCAGCAATTACCATTTACCGTATAATTTATTCTGTATTTACCAGCAGCTAACAGCCCATTTGCTAATAACATAACAGAATTCAAAGTCAAACTTATAAGCTTGAACTTAACCTCAACGGCTCTTGATTTGCTTGCTGTTAATAAGCGCAGCAGCTGGCCACACAGAGCAATGTTAAGGCTGCGCAGGGTCTGTTATTTACAGATCGAGCTGCAATCAAGCGGAAAAATGCAACGCCTACATCGTTTAGATTGTCTGGGCGAGACTCGAAAACGATTATGCGGCTGGCTACACAATATAAACTTATATTTAATAACAATTATTATAAAGGCAGGCGGCATCATAAAACTTGATGAGCCATGCTAGCATAATGCATGAGCTTGACCACAGAGATGACCACAGACAAGGCGCAATTGCAATTGCCAACAGGTTTCAAGGTCACGCGGCCGCCGCAGCCGCAGCCAAAGCCGAAGCCGCAACCTAAAATTAACATTGGAACTGCAGTCAGTTGCACGGCCCAAACCGGTTGAAGATCGGGCACTTTTTGACGTTGCTGTTGCTGCTTCTTCTTAAGTTTGGCAATTACGAAATATACAGCATAAAAAAAAGGAATGAAAACCAAAAAAAAAAAAAAAACAATGCGATGACATTGAATTGTAAATGCAGGCGATAAAAACCAAACACATAAAATTCAACAAAGAAAAAAAAAGAAGAGTAAAGAAACCAGCAAAAAGAAGAAAAACCAGCAGAAGTAAATAAATGTAAGCCGTCGTCGGACGTACGATGCATGTGCAATTTGTTTGTGCAAAAAATAACAACACCAGCAACACGGACAACATACACAGATTACGTATACGCAGCGTCTGCCAATGTCCATATCAATGGTCAGTGTTTGGTAGCTACTGCTGCTGCTGTTGTTGCTCTGCTTCTTCATCCTCCGCTACCGCTGCTGTTAAAGACATTGACATTTTTTTCTTTACTTTGTTGTCGCCGTTTAATGCTTTTTATTTTCTACTTCTTCTGGTATATTTTACCATTCCCAACGCCGCATTACGTCACTTTCACTGTACTTTGCGGCTTAAGACCCGCCCTGCCTGCCTCCGCCCCAACTGTTTACCATTCATTGTTGTTGCTGTCCACTTTGTTGCTGTTGTTACTGCTGCTGCTGCTGCTGCTGCTGCGACCGCTGCTGAGCGTTGTTTGTACTTGCTATTTGTTGGTACAAACAAGCGAATTGCAATAAAAATACTCGCACTTTAATTTATGGCCGCTTGCATGCGACTCTCTTTGGGCTATGATTTATCTGAGATATGTATTTTCGGGTTCGCGTTTGTTTGCCCTGTTTTCTGTTTGTCTCGCATAATTTATACGCGTTTACCCTCAGTCGAACTGTGTTTCTGGTTCAAGTTCATCAGCTGACTTCGGTTATCATTCTGTGCGATTCTCCTGAGTGCAGTTGCTTAAGTTGTATCCATAAAAAGTTAAACTGAATAATGGTTTCGGATTCCTGCTGCTACTCTCAGTAAATTTATTGTTTTAAGCTATGATAGATGGGCAGCATTTTCTTGGACTCTACCTGACTCAATTTTGTATGTTCTCTCAGGTAAACAAAATTTAAAAACTGGTTTGACACCATTTTGAATCACACTTGAGCCAGTTTGAGCTCCAATCTGTACACCAATATTCCACACACTTTCATCAGTAAGCCTCTTAAAAATGATATAACATAAAACCCCTTATCACATACAATCCATTTCATAATCACAGTTGAGCCCATTCAGAACTATACAAACTGCGAATATACAAACTGATCATTAGAAGAATACACTCAAAGAAATATATAGAATAGTCTATATCAACGCTAAAAGCCGTCAAAGTCGTCTTCAGGCTTGTCGTTGGTTTCATGTTCCATGCTGCCTCCATTATTTTTGCTCTCCAGCTTCGCCTCGGGTATCTTCTTGCTGAACCTTAATTTGCAATTTAATAATCTGGTTACCTCCTCGTACACCTGCACCAGCTCGAATAGCAGAAAGTATCTGCCATCCTTGATGGGCCATGGAAACAGGCTGTCATCGAAGAAGCCACGGTCCACGTAGTAAAAGCCCGGCATTAATGGACAGGATATAAGAAAGGTGGGCGGAATGAGGGATTCGCTCTGGAAATCATCTACGGTCATGTTGCGCATCGATTCGAGTGACTTGCAGAAATCCAAATTCTTCAATTTGAGCATCTCGAAGGTGTTTGTTCCACCCGGCACATCGTCCAGCCGCCGTACAAAGATCTGCATGAGCAGTTTGCCGGGAAAGTGCACATTTACGGTCAAGTTATAGTTGATGGTCTCCCTATTTTCCAAGCTATAGCTGATAATTATATCGTTGGGCACAAATGACTTTGAGTACAGCTGATCAATTTGCATATTTAGCTGGAGATGATATGCAGCATTAAAACTAAAAGAATTTTAATCTATTTTATATAGGACTTACGCCCAATACCTGACCAGCCATCCAGGCTAAGCTCAGGAGCCCCCAGTATGGGCTCATAATCGTGTTGCCGGAGTAAACTGCGGTTTATGGTTTGCATTTTAAAGTTTGCCAGCGACTCGTTTGACTCCAGCTCAGTCACGCCACGTCGCCTGACCTAATGGATTTGTTTGCTAACCACGTTGGGCATATTGAATGGCCACCCCGATTCCCCAGATTAAGATTCTTATCAACTCATTTGTATTTCGGGTTAAACACAGCTCTGTGTGCGGAGGGGCGTATGCGTGATTTGTTTCGCTTTAACAGCTAAACAGTTTGCCAAAACAAGTTGTGTGTGTGTTGACAGAGTGTTCTACGATTTAGGCAAAGGTCGTCTGTGCTCTGACCCACATAAGCTGGCCACGTCCGTCTTGGCATCATTTGCTGTCCACAAATGAAATGAATGTTACGCACTTTTATAACTAATTCCCAGACACTTGCGACAGCTTAACAATCTTCAAACTGTCAACATGTGCGAAATACATGTTTATAGAGAGGGGCTCATAAATAAATTGCCAGCTCGCGCCACGCCCTTTTGTAGCGCCCATTATATACGAGCTAATTGAAATGCCCATGGGCACAAAAGCGTCAGACAGCCCGACGACGCATGACGCCGATTTTGATCGCGATGACTCGATCAAAAGCCATTCAGGCAATTCGTTGTCTAAGCTTACGAAGCGCCCAACAAGCTTCAAACATGTCTATTGCAACTCACAGCTCTTTTCGTATAATTTGCATGAATAGATACAAGTATCTATATGTTGGATTTACATCTTTTGGCGGCTTATTCGAATGTGCTAAGTCATGTAGTCAGCATGCTAATTTAATTTAAGATCTGCATTTGTTTCCGCTCCACGAATTGCACTACATTTGTCAATGCTTATACAACAAAGCATGTAAATGTCGAACGACTTTGACTTTGACGGGCTTCAGTCAACAATTCCCAAAAATGTAATAAATCGTATATTAATCCATATGTTGACCTCTATTTAATTTGTTGAGCTGGTTAGAGACAACGCCTAGAGGCGTTTATTCTGTGTTGGTTTCGGGTTTCAACTTGTGTTGGTTTAACTCTTGAACGTTCAAGCTTGATGGCTATTAGAAGTGCCAAATATTTATGGACTTAGCTGACCCACCTATTGATCGCTTTATTTGAGGTGTGAAACTAAATTCCGGATACGTGGGCTCCCCGAGATTCAATTTCAGTTGGAGAGAAGGTTGAGCGCATTTTGGTGCTAATCTGTTGATCAAAATGCGGCTATTATGTAATATGTTTATATTATATTATGCATATATCCAGTTTTTACTTCCGTGTATTGCAGTGACTGTTCTTAAATAAAAACAAATGTCATGCTTTGCGGGCGCTTTTTTGACCGATTTCCGAATGAGCTGTATTTTGATTTACTTAACCTTCAGCCAGCTATGTAAATCTGCCTAACTATACTTAGTCTAAAGCATATTTGAACAGTCGCTAAGACTTCTTCAGTGGCACAAACAGCGCGCTTGGCTCTGACCTAACCAATGCAAACAGCGGCAGGTGGAAGGTGGCAGACGGCAGGCGGCAGGTGTGTCTCGTATGTGGCCTGTTGCTGCATCTGTGCCTTATAAATATATGCTTTATTTGCGCAGCAAGCAGAAGAGCGTCACAGGCAGGTGCCCAGCAGGGCCCAGAGACTGTGCACGTTCGAGCAATTTGCAATTTTTGTCAGTTTTCCTTTATTTTTTATTTTTTTCGCCTTTGCTGTTTTTATTGACCAGACTCGTTTATTTATGCACCTTTGTTTATGTATCGCCATTTCTGACCACTTGTCCAAACCGGGAATGTAATATGTGCAGTTTACATATGACATTATCATCGCTTGATGGGTTTCTTTTTCTTTTAGCTTTTTCGGGGCGCCATCTCTTGGGTATAAAAGCCACCGGCACTGTGGCCACCAGGTGCAGTCAATTTTTGGATTAAACAGCTCCGCAGTTACCTTCGCATATCAAAATGAAGTACATCGTATTGGTGAGTCTCCATAGATATAGATTGCCTTCGATAGTTTCTTATTCAAGGATATTCATGCACGTTTTGCAGGCTCTTTTCGTTTGCCTCCTGGCTGTGGCTTTGGTCGCCGCCGTGCCCGTCGACGAGTCGCTGCAGGGTGACAACATCTATGGCCAGGCTGATGTGCATAATCCCCACGATCCCCAGGCCATATTCAAGCTGAAGAAACTGAAGAAGCTGCTGCTCGGCTAAGGCCGCAAGGTTGCCAGCCAATCCTGTTGACTCTAGTCCATGTACAAACAACAACAAACACATAACCAACTGGGAACCTAACCTCTCCGCTTGGGCCTAGGCACTATGCTGCATTTAACCCTTCGCTTAGAGATAAACACAAATCACTCACATTCACAGCTTAATCGTAAACTTAACTAAATAAATATAATTCACATAAAACCACACAAACATCACAAATTTATGCTTATGTCATGCTGCTTCATTCGGAACCCTTTCAACAAGGAGCTAATGACGGGAAACATGTTTTCTGAGACTCGGGATTTGAATATCCAGTATATATATATCCAGTATATAGTCCAAAAGTGTGAACAACTTATTTCCTGATTGCCTTAACGATCTCCAAGATCTCAGTTGCTGAAGCAACTGAATGCTCTCTTGGACTCATATATGATATATATTTGTACAGTTTACTGACATTGACCCACATAGATATATATATTATTTAATTAATAACTGTGAATTGTTGTCATGATTTTAAATTTGTATTTAACATGTGGGAGCTAATAGAAAAAAAATGGTATAGACTTCAATCTATTTAACAAGCGAATCGCATCAATCCAAAGTCTTTAATCAATCCATATAGATAATATTCTGCCTACCATCAATGATAACCGTATCCTTAGATTCAGTTTCTCATCGTTCTTTCTCCTTCCCGAACTAATTCCATACCTCGACAAACAAATGACTTGGAACATGAACTTAAACGCAAAATTTAAGGACAGCGAAAAGACTAAAAACATATTAAGATTTAAGATGTTGTTTTTTTTTTTTTAATATCATGCTTAAAAACTAGACACAAAATATGCTAAAAGTCCATTTAATCTCGGCAATTAACCCAGGAAGAGCAGTTTCTTGAGCAGCTTCAGCTTCAGCAGGAAAGACTGATCGTCGGTGGGGCTGATGGGCTCGCTGCCGGGACCCTCAATTCCCTCGGGTATGGCCTCCTCCACGGGCACAGCACTGGTTGCCATGAAGCACACAGCCAGGCAAACGAACACGGTCTGGAAAAGGGCAAACATGCTCCATAATTAGTTGAATGTTATCCATGGAATCTGCCGTTAAGTGGACGCACCAAAAGCAAGAATTTCATTGTGATTGAGCTTCAAGTTGAGGACTCCTTGACTGGGCACTACGTGTTAATTGATGATCTCGCGTTTCGCGTTGACAGACCTGCACTGAGCATAGACCCCGCTGTCCATCTATTTATATGGGAGTTTCGAGCCGCTCTGAGCTGTGCGCATGCGCGCTCGTCTTTCATAGAGATTAAAACAACACATCGTCACAATGGAAGCTCTAAAATATCATTGTATCTGCGAGCAGCCCAACAATAAATTTTGTTTGGACTATTAAATGTGATTTTAGTGTACCACGCAAGGCGTTTTGGATGTGTGGAAAAATAAAAAATAAAGCAAACCAAACTATTTTGTTGAGGCCGCTTTTGTTGTTGTTGGACCCATTGTTGGGCTAGCCCGATGGCAAATTGTTTTGTTGACTGACATATCGTTGTGGGTTTTCGCTAATATATCTTTCCTTGGTTCTGAGTTCTATTTGATTTGACCATTAGCTAATCGTACCCTAGCTGCAGCCCCCGCTCTCACTAAATACTTATTAGCGGCTTTTATAGCTGGTTAACCTCAGCTCTGGTAATGCATGATCCATTCACTTGTCGTTTTCGTTGGAAATTATCACTTTATCAGCACAACTTATTAGTTAAAACATAGACGTATATAAAAAACTTGCCTTACGCTCAACTTGACAGAGGATGGGCACCAACAAAAAGAAGTGCTTGCCAACATCAAACATGTAAGAGGAAATATGTTAAATTCAAACTTTGCCCGCCGTTAAAACGCGCCGTGGTATTTTTTAGTACATTTGTGTTTAGGCATATTGTTATGAGCCAGCTGCTGTTATCGCACATTGCCATTAACAGTGTGGCAGCACCATAGTAAGCGATTACGCTAAAATACTTAATCCCTGCCTTCTCTAACGCGTATTAAACAATAAGCAAAAGAACGATAAAAAATATTAGACAATAAACACACTTGACCAAATCAAGTCAAAATTCCAACTATTTAAAATTGAGAAAATTATAAAATCCCAAAAAAATTTTTCGGCAAACAGATATAAAGCTAAAATCAGAAATATGACTGGTTCGTTCAGTGTGAAGCTAAAATCGAAAAAAGGTCAATTCATTGTCAATGACCTGAACGAGAACACAACAATAGCTGAACTTAAATCACGGATATCTCAGGCAACGGAAATCAAGGAGCCACAATTACACGTGCTCGTCGGTTTCCCTCCACGGCCGCTGGATCTTAGCGACCAGCAGCAGCGGAATCTGCGCTCCATTGGCATCCAAAGTGGCGAAACGCTGATTGTGGAAGAGAAGGCAGCGCCAGTGGCCAACTCCGCAACCATTGAGGACGACGAGGCGCTGGCGCGTCGTCTGCAGGCGGAAGAAGATGCGGAGCACCTGCGTCAGGTAACTACCTCAAGCAATGCCGAACTGGACTCTGTCGACATTGTTGCTCATAGCAGCAACGGGCGCGAGAGCGCACCCGTGTCCGCGCCCGCGGAAGCTGGACAAAATGGCGACTTCAATGGAATACTGTTGAAAAAGGTGGTGCCAGCGGATAACTCGTGCCTCTTTACAAGCATACGTTTCGTTCTCAATGGCAAGGTGGACAACGAGGGCAGCGAAATGATGCGTCATATTATCGCGCAGGAGGTGGCCGCCGATCCGCAGCAATACAATGATGCCGTCCTTGGCAAATCAAACGCCGAGTACTGCGCTTGGATACAGAAGGCGGACTCGTGGGGCGGCGCCATCGAGGTGTCCATATTATCCAATTATTATGGCATTGAGATCGATGTCGTTGATATACAAAACGCGATTATCAATCGGTTCGGTGAGGACAAAAACTTTGGTTTACGTGTGTTCCTACTGTTCGATGGCATACACTACGATCCACTTTACATGGAGACCTCACAGAGTGCCGCACCAGCTACCATCTTCCCCGTTGAGGAGCTGGGCGTCTATCAGCAAGCGGAGCAGCTGGCCAACGAAGCAAAGTCCTCACGCCAATTTACAAATGTGGATAAATTTAATCTTCGTTGTTTACAGTGTGATCTATTACTTGTGGGTCAGGCCCAAGCCCAGCAGCACGCCAAGGCGACTGGTCATGCGAACTTTGGGGAAATTTAATACGTACTGATCTTTGGCACCATTTATATTTTGGCTTTTATTCTGTTTGCCTATTACATACTCACCACATAGTTTCAGTCGAAGAAATTGTCAGCTCTTGCCGATTACTTTCGCATTCTCTAGCAAAATTTTTACAAACTCCTGTGGTTCATTTATTTAACTCTCTTTCTACGCCCAAGCAACTGTCATTTGAGTTTTTGGAGAATAATAAAGTTCCATTCATTAAACTAGCAGAACACCAATATTGTGTATTCTTTGTTACGACGCCCATGGTGGCGTCATTGCAGCGGGATTTTGCAAGTATGACATGACCACGGCACTTACACTTAACATAAAGGAAGACAGTACCTAGAAAACTTGGATTAGCAATGGGCATTCGTTTGTGGATGCTTTAGTCACCTGTTTGGCATCGTCGCTGGCACGCGAGCTGGAAAAGCTGATGCAAGAGCAGTAGAGGGCAAACCAGGCGCACCACTTAAGCTGTTGCAAAGGGATTGTGTTATGGTTTGTACTGAAAATGATGGAGACGTGGTGTTACCTTCATCATCAGACCGCACATGGAGAAAATCATTCCCAGAATGTTCATATAATCCGGCATCATGTCCTCATTGGCGCCACCGCCTTGTCCTTGGTTCTTGGGTGCTTTGTAGCGATTAATTTTCTCCTTCCGACGTGGATCCACAGTGTAGCTCATTTTCAATTAATTTTTATTGATGTCTGACAAATTAAGTGAAAAAACTGAAATTTTTCTTGAGCAGGGCAAGGGAATGTTAGCGTTGCCACATCGACTCAAAACAGATGTATGCCATTCACAGGTATCGTAAGAATGACTATACTACTTCTTCTTCTTATCAATTACTGTTCAACGGCATGCACTTTTAAAACTTGTAAAATTACATAAAAATAATAGCAAATTGCAACAAATTAAAATGGCAGTGCGTTTTTTCAGCTTAGCGCTGATACCGCACATACGCCGTATGCAGCTATACGCCCCAAAGCACCACTTACATCTAAGAAGAACTCTCGGTGTTCAAACAGAGTTTCCAAAACTGCGTTGGGAACAAATCCGCCTACTACACGTGCGTATTACGGATCAGGATGCCGGTCTGCAGACAAAACGTGAGGCAAACAGACCGACAAATCCTTTCCAAGACACGATTTTAGATGAAGACCCAAGAGAACAGACCCCCAGACTACGTGGGCAGAAGAAATTTGGCAGATCGGAGGATTTCGAAAAAGACACTGCAAAGCCAGATAAACGGGAACAAAAAAAAGAAATATTAACCGACTTTGGTGATCCGGATACCTTTGGCGATGCCAAGTTTAGCGGTACGCAACCCGAAGACCCCGGTGATGTGCAGGAGGAAGAATTTATTAGCAGACCAACGCGACACACAAGAAAACTTCGCACCAAAGAGTATGCTCGTCTGATAAAGGAACATTTGAATGCGCATCGCATCAATGACGCCCTTGCGATTCTAGAGGTGCGCATGTTGCGAGAGGATCGTGTGAAGCCAGAGAACTACATTTACAATTTGCTTATCAGCGGCTGCGCCAAGGCGGGCTACACTCGTAAAGCCTTCAGTCTGTACACTAAAATGCGTCAACGTGGTCTTAAAGTCACCGGCGGCACCTACACTTCCCTCTTCAATGCGTGCGCCAATGCACCTACACAGATTGACGGCTTGGGCAAGGCGAGGCAGCTGCGAGAGAACATGTTGGAAAAAGGTTACGAGCCGAATGTTAAGAACTACAATGCCATGATCAAGGCGTATGGCCGCTGTGGAGACATAGAAACCGCTTACATGCTGGCCGACGAAATGCTGGAGCGTCAGCTGCCGTTGAACTCGGAGAGCTTCAACTTTCTGCTGCAAGCCTGCGCCAGTGATGAGAAGCATGGCTTTCGTCATGCGCTACTCACCTGGCATAAGATGCTGCAGCGTGGCTTAACTCCAGACTTCTACAGCTTCAATGCCATGCTTCGCTGTGTCCGGGACTGTGGCTTTGGTGATTTGGAGTCCATGCAGCAGGTGCTGGAACAAATAACTCCGGGTGCGACCAACAGACAACTGTCGCAGGGCAAAGAAGAGGGTGTGGAAACAGCTCATCCTAATAGCTTGGCCATTTCGCCCAGCTCTACCGAGGTTAACCAGCTCGAATTGGCGTCCGCATCCACAGAACAGCTAGAGCTGCCCAATCTGCTGCTGCCACGTCCACAATTAGGAAGTTTAGTTGCCTTGGCTGAAGTGACGCGTCCTCATGAGCGGTTCCTATTGCTGGGCGGCATTACCGGCTATCTGGAGCTAATGAAGGCCCACAAAGTAACACCGAACATTGAATGTTTTACAACCATGCTTGAGGTCATACCGCCCACAAATGCAGCGGAAAAGCAACTGCTAAGCTTTGTGCGCAAGATTGGCCTCAAAGCGGACATTGATTTCTTTAACATACTCATCAAGAAGCGCTCGATGCGCTTCGACTATGAGAGCGCACGCGAGGTGTTGACTATGATACGCACTGCTGGCTTGCAGCCGGACATTGTGACATATGGCGTACTAGCGCTGGGTTGTCGCACCCAGGAGCAGGCCCGTGAGCTACTGCAGCAAATGCAGGCAGCAGGCATACGTATGAATATGCCCATATTGGGTGCTATGTTGCGGCAGGGCTGTGCGCAGAAATCGTTTGCATACATCAACGAAATCATGCAACTTAGTCTGGAGGAGAGCATTAAACCAAACGAAGCGTTCCTGCGGCATTTACATAACTTTCACAGAGGCTGTGCCAGGGCCATTGATGCCAGGGTGAGACATAGTCGTATTTCTCATTAATAATTTTAGAAAACTAATCGACAACTTTTTTTTAGCACCCCTCAACAAAAACTGAGGCCTTTAAGAAGGGGCACTCAAAGTTCTGTGATAAATATCGTCTGTTTTACGAGGAGCATGGCCTGTCCGGCCTGAAGCTGGAAGATGCCATTGCCAAACTGAAAGCCCGTCCGTATGCACAATACAAAGAAACTTCTGTCACGGGCTTAGAACCAGCCAAGCACGAGCAAGTGAAACGTAAAACAAAAATCCGAAAATATATCAAGAAAATCAAAATTGATGAGCTGCAAGATGATCCGCCGGTGTCAGAGCCAGTGAAACGAATAGAATAGAACTAAATGTAAATTAAATTAACATGTAAGTTTAACACGGTTTATTAAAGTATTCGTTAAATATGAACGGCTAGCCGATCATTGTGCGTTTTCTTCCACGCGCACGTACCTCCTCAAACTTGGCCAAAACGGCCTCCTCGTCCTTGCCGCACTCCTTGCGATAAGCCGCCAGTATGTGCTCAAACAGATACGGCTGCTCACTATGCGTGCTCAGCAGCGCCCTTTCCAGCACATATAAATCAACTCCCTTGTCCTCTGTCGCCTGATTATAGTGGCTCAGTCCGAAATCTATGAAGATGACATCATAGCTACTACTCGAATTCGGACTGGGATTGATAAGTATATTTGATGTGGTCAAGTCGCCGTGTATTATGTTGTTGGCATGCATTCGGCCAATGATGCCGCCAATGCGTGCGCACAGCTCCTCCAAGGGCTGTTTTGCCTGCTCGTCGGTCGATTCGGCCACTGTTTTCTGTATAAACTGCTTAGCTGTCTGGGCGCTGCCAAAGTACTCCATGTACAGCTTGTGGCCAGTCATATCTGAGTGGAGAATGCGTGGTGCCAGGATGCCAGCAGCCAGGCAACGGCCAGCTGCCTTAACCTCAGCCTTCATGCGCTGCCTTGTTATTTGTGTGTCCAGCTCCGGATGACGATACTTTTTAACGAAACGTTCCTTTATTAGACACGATTCACCATTGAATTCACCAAGGTAAAGACGACCCTCGGCACCTTGTTTTAGTATTTCTAATGCCATATTTAATTCCTAAAATAATTTAAACACCGGCGATGTGCAATTGCGAGTTCCAGGTTAACTGCCATTCTCCACGAAATTAGCCATTCACTGCGCAACAGCCACAATTGACAAAGCAGCAGCTGATTTTGTTTTGATATTTGCACATACCAATCGCCAGCTTCAACAGTGAATCATCTTTTTGAAAAACCCTACCCGTTCATTCAGACAGTAAAAATTGAAATCTAAAATGTTTAACAATATATTTGGCAAAAAACCCACCGTAAAGGAACAGCAACGCGATAATGATCGCAGCTTGCGCAAAGCGACTCGCGACATTGAACGAGAGCGTCGAAAACTGGAGGATGAGGAGAAAAAACTAGAAGCTGAGATTAGACGCAATGCGGCTGCTGGAAACAACGACGCATGCAAAATTCTGGCCAAGCAACTGATCGAGATTCGCAAGCAAAAATCGCGCAGTTACGCTGCAGCGGGCAAAATACAATCTATAGGCTATCAGAACAAGAACATGGGCGCAAATATAGCTCTGGGCGAGGCAATGGGCACCACAGCCAAGACGATGGCTGGCATGAACAAAGTGATGCGCCCAGAGGCTATAGCAGGCACTGTGCGTGACTTCCAGCAAGCAAATATGCGCATGGAAATGACAGACGAAATGATAAACGATACGCTAGACGACATGCTGACGGAATCTGGTGATGAGGAGGAATCTAACGATGTGGTCAACAAGGTGCTCGACGAGATTGGCATTGAGATCTCTGGTAAAATGGCCAACATACCAGCCACAGGATCCAGTGAATTCGAGACTAGCGGCAAGCGCACCGAGAAGGATATTGCAGATCAGTTGGCCAAACTGAGATCTTCCTAGTTATATTAATGTGCTTAATCCCTCCCACAGCCGTATTTGGAAATTTTGTAAACACAATTGTTATTCATAGCCCATAAGACATAAGAACATAAGTATATGTACATGCATCACTCTAAAGTCGAGCGTTCATACCCCCCGAGGCAACTACAGACTCGCCTGTTATATAGCCAGCATCCTCCGATACAAGGAAAGATACAACGCCAGCCATTTCCTCACTTGTGCCCAAACGACCCATGGGTATTTTGCTAAGCGCCGCCTCATTGGCAGACTCGTTCTCGTACAGCGCCTTGGAGAATTTTGTACGGATGATACCAGGTGCCAGGCAGTTCACGCGTATGCCCTCAGGCGCCAAGTCCTTGGCCGCTGCCTTGGTCAGTCCAATCAGCGCGGTCTTGCTAACGGAGTATGCGCCCAGCAGCTGTAGAGAAGGTTAGAGATTAAGATAAGATAAATGCTGGTTTAACTAATAGACGACTTACCTCAAATGCATCGTAGCCAGCAATGGACGAGACAAACACTATGCTAGAGCCCTTCTCCTGGCGTAGATATGGCAGGGCTTCTTTGGCCAATAGATAAGAGCTCTTTACATTTACATCGAAGATCTTATCCCACACCTTCTCATCACATTCTAGAACACCGCCTACGGCAGGATTGGTAGCGGCATTACTAACCAATATATTGAGCTTGCCATATTTGCTGATGGTTTCCTCGAAGAGCTGCTTACGATCTTGCGGCTCGCTCACGTGGCACTTAAGGCCATGCACGTTAAGATTCAGTTTTCGCAGCTCGGCCAGCGCATTGTCCACATTCTTCTGCTTTCGACTGCTGATCACGACGGCGGCACCATCCTCAGCCAAACGCTTGGCAATCGCAAAGCCAATGCTGCAAGCGCCATAAATTAACTATAATCAATATGCACTAAGGGACAATGTCTCTGAGAACTCACCCATCTGTGGAGGCGGTAACCACCGCAACTTTGCCTGCTAAACGCTTCATGCTGCTAACGCTCGAACTTTGACTGGCACTGCCACTGGACAATCGCTTATGGCAAAGATTGTAGTTAACGAGTTTGTTACTATTGTTGTTGCTGTTATGTTGATTAAGATTTCTAATCGATGTTGTGCTTTGCGTGGTACTTTGGACTTTGCCTCCAGACAAACTGGCTGCAGCGGTTAAATTGGGCTTTGGCGCCTTGCTAGCCAATTGCTTGCCCAGATGCAACATATCTAGGCTGAGTTTTGAATTCAATTGGGATTGACAAGGATCGGCAAATTGATTTTTCTCACTTCTGCTATTTGTACGATTCCTATACGACTAAGCCAAACAGTTCCAATTGGAACGTGTTTTGCTTGATGCTACATCTTGTTGCCATTCACGGCGAAACGAAAGCTTTTTTGGGCGCGCTTTTTAAATTACGACTACATTTGAATCACATTTGTTTCTATCTTATATTTATTAAATTAAGTTTAAATTAACTATTTACGAACCTATCTTTGCTAATGGCTCAAAATAAAATGTTTCTGTGTATTATTTATTCAATAAGAATTACTGGAATAATAGCACCTTACAAGCTTGACACCGTCTGGTGCATAGACCCCAATTGGTAGATAAGAATGTTGAAATGAAAATCTCCAAAAAAAAAAAACTTAAATAAACATTGCCTGCACGCATTAAATATGATTCGCGATGTCGTAACACAATAAACAAAGATAAATATGAAGAACAAGTAGGAACCGCAACACTGAAAAAAAAATAAGAATCATTGACGAATAAACCAGCAACAACAGCACAAATCATATCCAGAAATAACAACAACCACAATGTTTACTCTCAGCTGAAAGTGCAAATTGTAGTTCGCCGGAGCGGCTTTAGTCGTTTAGTTGTTTCATTGCTCTACTCCATTTCCAGCAGTTAGTCGCTCCGTGTCGTTCCAAGTGTGCAAGCCGCTTTTTCTCGAGCTCTGGAGCAGGGTATACGGCACGCGGTTAACGGTCTTCGCAAAGCATGTGATATAACCAAATAACTCTGCCAGTACGATTCACAAGATTTGGAAGATGAGCAGCCAAGCAGATGAAATTGCGCCAGCTGCGCCCGCACCAAAGGACTTCAAGGCACCCGTATTTCCGGACAATAAATTAGTGCTCTACTTTCATCCGTACAACTTTTACTCGCAAAAAGTTAGTTGCCCTAACTAAATCATGTGATTTTTGAGACAATATTTTGATATTACAAAACGCGCAAATGGCGCGAAATTACAAAAGTAATCGTCATTATTGTCATTACTGTTCAATGTTATTTTGTCAGCTATGACTAGGTAAAGTTTTTAAATAACATTCCACCCACCACCTGCCACCCACCAGGTGCCCCATCTATTTCAGATGCAGTCGTGCGTGACGGGGGCGTATGCATAATATCTGCTGGGCTGACAACACAAGTAGATTTCATTAGTTTTGAGTTTTTGTTCTTTTCTTAATAAATAATATTACTTAACTGTTTACCTTGATGCAGGTGCTAATGAAGCATTTGAAAACGTAAGAAACGTGATAATAAAACAAAACTGAGGAAGAGTATAAATAGTGCAAGCAAACAGTGTGAGCGAGCTACAAGTCATTAGGATTAATGATCGTACATTATTCGCAGACTTGCGGTTAAGCTAAGCTTTATCAATATGTTTTTTTATATTTTCTTTGCTAGGTTTTGCTGGTGCTCTATGAGAAAAATGTTGACTTTACACCCTACATAGTCGATCTGTGCAATGGCGAACAGTATTCCAATTGGTTCCTAAATCTGAATCCTAAGGGCGATGTGCCCGTGCTGCAGGATGGCGCTTTTATCATACCCAACTCACCGCACATCATCAGCTATGTGGAGACCAAGTTCCGTGGAGGTAAGTAGTTCTTTCCGATATGTTTGGCCAATTCAAGTCAATTTCTCTCCTCACAGAGCAGCATCCGTTGCTGAAGCCATACCCACCAGATTCCCTACAATTCGATCAGATGATGACATTTGAACGCGCATTGTCACGCCTGCCCGTGGGCGCACTCAGTCTGGGCTCCTTTATCCACGACGACCTCAAGCTGGTGCCCAAGGCTCCCTTCATTGGGCCCGTACGGCAATCCTGCCTGAGTGAGCAGTATAAATGTGCCTGAGTGCTATTCCAATTGAATTATCCGTTGTCTTTTAAACCGCAGAGAACAATGACAAGGTTATGGAATTGCTGCGTCACTCCGTGGATGAGTTGGACTCCAATAACACCGCATTACAGCAAAAGCTAGAGATTCAGTTACGCCGCAGAAAACTTGTTGCCTCGCGTGTAGATTTCCAGCGTGTGCTGGATGCGGTGCGCAATGTGCTGCAATATGTGGAGCAGGAGCTGTCCAAGCAAACGCCACGCAACGAGTGGCTGACTGGCGATGAGATCACCTTGGCTGACGTCAGCTTGGGCCTGCTGCTGCAACGCCTCTATCAGCTGGGCTTCGAGAACTATTATTGGGGCTTCGGCAAGTTGCCGCAGGTGGAGGGCTACTTTTTGCGGTTCAAGCAGCGTGCCTCATACCATAAACTGATGCCCAGCAGCAATTTCGAAATACTGAAGGAAATGTGGAGTATGACGCCTTCCAATTACAAGCTGGGAGCAACTGCCGGTTTCTTGGGTATGGCCATGTTCGCAGCCTTTGCGCATAAGTAGCCAGCCAGATTTGTTAACAATCATTTTATTGTTGTTGTTAAAGTTGGGCACATATAAACACAAACAAAAGAACGCTTAAGTCTACGTGGTAACAATGCAAGATCCGGAAAGCAGAAACAGTCAGCGAGAGAATGAGAGAGGATAGAGAGAGCGCGGAGCTGCGATTGCCCCATGAACTATGAACTATGAACAGCGCACAGTGCCAAAGTGCGAGCCTCAAGCTGCTGATATCATTGTATATAAAAATCGTTTGGTATTAAGTTCTATTTGGTACAAAAGATTTTGCTAGCCACTACCGGTTAAAAATGATTCGCCTAACCTTATTCAATTCCTGTTTTCTGTTGCTGGGTTAGTCAACGACTTGGGTTCAGCTGTCCACGCCCGCCTGCTGCTGTTCCCGCTTCTGCTGCTCCGCCTGCAGCAGGCTGGCGGCCGCACTCGCTGCCTTTACGTTGGTAAACAAGGGCATGCCCATGAAAGTAGGTATTTGCTGCTGGGCCGACGACGACTGAGCACCTACCTTGCCCGTCGACCACTGGCCACTGCCGTTGGGATTGGCTTTTAATCCACTAGATGACGCCTGGTTGGCAGCAGATGGTGTGCAGGTGTGTAAATGCGTGGGTCTCTTGAAAGGGACACTCTCGCGCTGGTAGTAGAAGACGCCATTGCCTGGCGCCTCGGGCAACAGGCCATTGGTTGGATACCAGAAGCGATACGTAAAGTACCACGTTAGAATGGCAATGATGCCGCTGATGACTTTCTCAATCATGCGATGATAGTACAGCATCGTGCCCACCAACATTATGTCCCAGAGCAGCTGTAGAGCAGCCATCCCAATGAATAGGGTGCGAATGATGGGCGTCAGTCGCGTATAGAGAAACTGTAGGCTCCGCATTTGCTCATCGTTTAGGCCGCGCAACGGATTGCTTCCCGTTTTCTCCGATACGCTGCGATTGTGCAACTCGTTGCGCAGGTGCTCCTTGATGGTTTCCCATTTGATAATGGGACGCGCCTCCTCTATTAGCACCAGGCTAGAGTGTATGAGTATAAACGCATGGCCTGAGATGTCAAAGCCCTGCCATAAATGTCCCGCCTTCAGGCAGCTGGACTTGCTCTGGAAGCCTGCAAGAAAGACAATCTTTAGTAACAGTTTTAACATTGTTTAACTCGCATTCTTACCCTTGGTAGTGCAACGACCATAGGAGGTTTCCACAATGTTGAAGAGCTTTGTCCAGAAGAACCAAAAGAAAGTGGCGATTACAATGCGTGGGAAGTGATGCCTCAGCATGCGCTTCATGTCGCCGCAGGTGATTGTATAAGCGGAGAGCACCGCAAAGGGCACGGCGAACAAGAGAGTCCAACCCCAGCCAACCTTGACGAAGTACAGATTAAACAGGTTGTCGGAGCGGGCAAAGTATGTCTTGGGAAATGGCAAGAAGTCGCCTATGAGCGAGATGATGAATAAGCTGCCCAAATAGAGGGCCACCTTCAGGTCCGTGTTGAAGAATATCGTCTTTTTGCATAGATGTATGACGCCCATGACTAGAATCTCACGTATGCTGGTGGGGGCAGCGGTTGGACGTGTGCCTCGTGCCTCTGATCGAGTTATATCTGGTCCACCAGGTCGAAAGTTCATATTGGAGCCGCTATTTTGTCCGGGGGCAAGATTGGGACGCAGTGGACGCCGTTTTGTGGCCATAATGATGCGGCGATTTTGTTTACTACGTTGTGTTTGATGTTGTTTGCACTTTGCCAATGTGTTGTATACTACGTCGTTTTATTGCTACCGTTTTTGGTTATGGTAAAGGGTTTGTCAAAAGTGAAAGCGGAACCAAAACGAAAGGTGTCAAAGTTCAAATTGCATTATATTAGATTACATATAATTTAGTTGCACCGAACAGTTTGTGTTTTTAACTATTAGTTTTGTTAAGTTTCACAGAAATTTTCACTTAGCACAATGCAGTTATCGTTGTTCTTTCGCTCTATTCTTGTTCGTTGCACATTTTAGCCAAAATATGCAGCTGTTGCTTCAGCCAGAAAATAGAACACCAGACCACACGCGTTGAACTGCGAATGGCAGCGTTCACATGTGAACTGCAATTGCGATCAGCTGACTGTGATTCTGATCCGATTCTGTTATTAATTACCGGCTCAGCTGGGTCCACATCGCTCTCGCATGTAATTAAGACCGCAATTAAATTGGCATGTACAACTCGGCCAAAAAACTACAACGTGTGCTCACAGCACGCGAGATACGCAAAACATTCATCGATTACTTTACGGTCAATCATGAGCACAAATTTGTGCGCTCCAGTCCGGTTGTGCCGTTCTGCGATCCCACCGTCGCCTTTGTCAATGCGGGAATGAACCAGGTGAATATCAGGTACATACACTTGATTAATCTATTGTGCCCTAATCAGTCTCGTTGCTTTAGTTCAAATCCGTTTTTCTGGGCACAGCTGCTGCACCGTATAAACGCGTCGTCAATTCTCAGAAATGTGTGCGAGTCGGTGGCAAGCACAATGATCTGTCTGTGGTGGGTCAGGATGGCTACCATCACACGTTCTTCGAGATGCTGGGCAACTGGTCGTTTGGCGATTATTTCAAGGTAAGTGCATTTGCCACTTTAGCCTTGCATTGCTCCAACAGATTTCTTGCAGCGTGAAGCTTGTGCAATGGCTTTGGAGCTGCTGCGCGGCCCCTACAACATTGATCCCTCGCGTTTGTATGTCACATACTTTGCCGGCGACAAGCTGCTGGGCATAACCGCCGATCTGGAGTGCTTTGAGATTTGGCGTAGCTTGGGGTATGCGTAAATTGGTTACATAATGCTTTTTGAGATTTTATCAGTATTCTTGTCTTGCAGATTTCCTGCTGCACGAATCTTGCCATTCGGCTGCAAGGACAACTTTTGGGAAATGGGCACAACGGGCCCTTGCGGACCCTGCACTGAAATACACATTGATCATAGACCGGGCTCTGGACCTGACAGCGTGGAGCAGCGCGCAAAGTTGGTCAACGCGGGGCGAGCAGATCTCACCGAGCTGTGGAATTTGGTGTTTATACAGTACAATCGGTTGGTAGCTAAAAACTAGTGCAGTAGAAATCTAATATTTAATTGAATACCTCATATTTGCAGCAATGCAGATGGCAGCATAACACAGCTGCCCGCTCGGCACGTGGACACGGGCATGGGCTTTGAGCGTTTAGCTGCGCTGCTTCAAAACAAGTCGTCCAATTACGATACCGATCTCTTTACGCCGCTCTTCGATGGCATACATAGTGTAATTTGATAGTGGTGAATAATTGGTTGGCTCAAATTTAACATTTGTTTCTTAATTAGCTTTCCAAAGCACCTGTGTATGGTGGCAGCTTTCCCAATGCCCAGGATTCTGCTTTGCTCGATACAAGCTACAGAATACTTGCCGATCATGCGCGCATGGTCACCGCTTGCTTGGCCGATGGCATGCTGCCGGATCAAAAGTAAGTTGGAGCTGAGCCTAAAGGAATCCTTTCTTAATTCTTTATTTCACAAGCACAGTCAAAAATTGCGTCGCGTTCTGCGAAAGGCACTCAGCATCTCGGAGCAAGTTTTTGGACACGAAAAGCTGCTCTCTCAGCTGGTGCCCATTGTAGTTGAAACGCTAGGCGAGGCCTATCCCGAGATGTCGACCAAACAGCAGGCTGTTATTGAGTTGATATTGCACGAGCAGGAGGTGTACAAAAATTTGCGCGAAAGCTCGTCCAAGGCTTTTGCTGAGGTGCTCACAGAGTTTCCCAAGCTGGATGACATTGATCTGATGGAATGTCCTGGTTTTGTGCCCGCCTACCGCGAGTTTCAAGTACAACGCTCAAATTTTCCCAACAACACGATCCCAGGTGACTTCCTGTATAAGTTGACAGACACTTATGGTCTGACCGAAGAGAGCTTCCTTAAGTTGGCCGAGCTTGAGAACATGAACTGTGATTTGGATCGGTATCGCGCCGAATTGGCCCTGGCCAAGCTTAGAACCAAGGAACCTCAGCGCAGCAGTGGCGACTACGACCTGGCGCTGCAGAAGCGCATCGCAGACGCACAAGCGCAGCTAACCAAGCGGCTGGCGCCGACTGATAACAGTCACAAATATATCTACAGCTATGATGAAGTAAATGAAACCTATTCGATTCCCACGGTTACAAGTCGCGTGCTGGGCATGCTACAAAATGACGTGGAAGTGTCACGCACCCGCCTAGAAGAGCCCTTGAATACGCTCTCCATTGTCACAGCTGCAAGCAATTTCTACTACGAATCAGGCGGTCAGCAATCAGATCTTGGCAAACTGCTGGTGCGGAACACACACAAACCAGAGGAGCCTCATCAGTTGGAAGTGGTAGGCGTAAAGCATCTCAATGATTGCGTGGTGCATGTTTGTCGCCCGATCACATCCTCCGATGACTTCGAGCTGGCTGTCGGGGATGAGGTACAGCTTGAGGTAGATGCCAAGCAGCGGCAGCTGAATACGTGTCATCACACGGGTAAGTACCAAGGAGCACAGAAACACGATATTCTAAATAAATACCTCGTTCTATAGCTACCCATCTGCTGAATGCTGCCATAAGATCTCTCTTCAACAAAGTTACATATCAGGTTTCCAGCGCAGTTAGCAGTGAGCAGTGTAAACTGGAACTGGGACTTTTGGGCAAGCGCATACAAAAAGCCGACGTGCAACACATTGAGGATCTGATCAAGTGAGTTTGGGTAGACGTCTTGTTTTTACATATATGCAACTAATTAGCTTCCATATGTAGCCGCGCCATCTGCTCCGCCACGCCCGTCCAAGTGCAGGAACTCAGCGCAGCTGATGTGCTGCAGCAGAACGATATAACCATGGTGCCTGGGGAGGTGTATCCGGAGCAAGGACTGCGTCTTATTAATGTGCAATGTCCGGACCTAAGCCTTAGCTCCAAGGAACTGTGCTGCGGTACGCATGTGACCAACACAAAGGAGCTATCCTGCTTCTGCATTGTTAATCTCAAGCAAACAAATAGGGCTCGCTTTGCCTTTACAGCCGTAGCTGGCCAGGCAGCAGAGAATGTAAGATAACGTTCACTCTTCCTTCCAATTTCTAATAATCCCTCCTTTCCGATAGGTCCTGAAAACAGCAGCGCTATTGCGTCATCGTGTGGATATGCTGGAAAAGCAGTTTCAAATGGACAAGCTGACAAATGCCACGGAGACTGAGCTGCAGACCATACGCCACAACATGCTGCACTCGGACATTAAGCTGCCATACGCTTTTAAGATGGACACGCTCGATCGCATCAATGATATACTACGTAAGCTTAAGGAGACTTCGCGCACAACCCTTAAGTAGGTGTTAAATTGTAGTTATTTGCCAACAACTAATTTGTCATTGTTACAGAGAATTTGTAGAGGTGGAAATGCGAAATGTGCTACTAGAAAAGCCACTTGACACGCATCCGTACATTTTGCACTTTATTAGCAGCTCGGCGCTGGTGGAAGAAATTCCCTTGCAGCGTGCAACAAAACTATGCACAGATCGTCCGATTCTGGTGGTTAGCATGTGTGATAACATTGTCAAAGCGCGCTGCTGCGTGCCGCAGGTCAGTCAATGAATTATAACTCAAAGTTAACTCTGGTTAATCCTTTTGGATTCACGCTGCAGAACTGCATCAGTGAGCAATTTAACGCCACGCTCTGGCTGCAATCCTTTGCGAAAACGTTTGGCGGTCAAGTGGCCACGCCCAAGGGTCAGAAAGCTGAAATCGTCTGCAACATGAAGGGACGCAAGGTGAACACACAGTTTGAGGAACAATTGGAACAGGCAATGGGCAATGCTCAGGTCTACGCCAAACGTTATTTGGAGTTCTAACTTGCCATGCCACACGCCCTTAATAGAAAATTGTTAAGCTTAATTGTTATTGTGAGAGGTACTATATTGCAGACTAATAAATGTAAATAAAAACCTTAATCGCTGTCGCTGATTATCACCAAATCCTGTTGCGAGTGCGCCAAACTTGTCTCCATTAGTTGCTCAAAAGCATCGGCACCGTCGACGCTTTGATTGAAAAAGTAGCTAACGTTAGCTGTTGACTTGGGCGGTGGAGGCGACGGTAGTGTCCTAGTAGCCTCTTTCGCAATGGATAGGCCATGCTGCTGTTTAAAGCGCTCTATAGGCGTCCTGACCAAATGTGGCACCTTTTTCAGCTCGCCCTTGACCAACAGATCAAAGCTGTCATCCAGCGAGTAGCGTTTGCTCAACGGCACGCACTCTTCCCTCATTGAGTAATCTCGACGCTTTTGCAATAGCAAATCTGCATCATCTAACAGTTGACTTTGTTGGGTTTGTGCGTCATCCTTGTGCAAACTCAGCTGCGCCAAGCGAAGGCTCAAATCCTCTGCCAGCGCCTCATAGTGCAGCATATGACCTGCGTGCTTAGTAACAGCAGGTAGTGCTTGAGGATTGGAGACGATGCCATTGATAATATCGGACATATCAAACTCACCATCGCTGTCCAAATCGGAGGGCAAATTTTTGTTGAGAGGCGTGGAGCATTGGGTAACGAGCTGACGAACGGGTTTGACTGGTGTGTCCTTATTTTGTTTAAGAAATTGCTTCATAGTTTTTTGTCCTTGCTTTGCTGGCTCAATTGGCATCTTCTTTTTTCCTCGTTTGGGTTTGGAGATAATCTCTTCTGTTGCTGCAGCCAAGGCTGAAAGATTCTCAAGAGCACTAAGCGGTGTCTTCTTTTTGCGCGTCGCTGCCTTTTTGGGCGGTTTCTCCTTTGATTTCATAAAAGCAGCCACCAAATCTGGATATGCAGCCTGCAACATGTCCAATGGCTCAATAGTATAGTATAGTTCCTCCACACCCTTTGGATGCTCCAGCTCGAATTCGGCAATTTGATCGTGCGGTATAAGTCCCTTGAAGCAGCCGTGACTGTCTGCCCAACGCAGCTCTAAACTGGCGACACCTTTCACTGTACGCTTCTTGATGATCTCTTGGGGCTGGACAAGGCACTTATCTTGGTTTGGCTGCTGTACCTGCCAGCGTGTAAGAATGGGGAAAAATTTCTGAAAGCAATAGATTTCTGGCCATTGCAAAAGGTGGCCAATTTGCTTGATAAATTTAACGATGTTGGGCTGTCGCCAGTCGAGCTTCAATTTGGGCAGTGTCGGCGGTTCAGAAAGGAACTCGGATATAATCTCTTCATTGGGAAAGTCTACATCTACAAGCGCCTTCTTGCGCAACGTCAGCTCCGCCTTGATGGACAGCCGTTGTTCCCTTTAAAGAAACAAAAGTTATAAAAATTCAAGGCTTACAAATAGCACTTACTTCCACAGGCTTTCATCGCAGCCACGATGCGTCCGACAGACGCCACAGCCGCTTTTGGTGTGGCTTTGCGTGCGTCCAATGTGCCCGCAGTTGCTGCAAATGGATTTGTCGTCGACACGCAGCTCCAATGCGCTGTATTTATCCGTTTCAGAGCGCCAATTACGCAATCTGAGTAAGACGTAAGTTTTAGCTTTTATATGCATCCTTGAATGATATTATTTTACCTGTCCAATATTTCCGATTCCTTGTATTTGTTAAACAACTTCAGTACGCCGTCCTTGCCAATGCCGCCGATGCCATCGGGACAATAGTCGCATCCACAGAGCAGCGCCATGACAATGACTTTGTTCTGGCCAAAATCCATGTGGGCGCAAATCGTTTGCATGTCATAAATATCCACTGCACCGCCAGCTGCAGCCTGAGCGCCCTGCGTGGACACAGAAAAGTTGCGATACACGCGCACCGCGCCGTACGCAAAGCAGTCCGAATCCTGGCTTATGACACCATCCACTAGCTGGATGGACAAATAATAATAATTTCAGCCACAAAAAACTATCAATTGAACTCACGCCATGCTTGTTGAGATAGGCACAATAGGCTTCAGCTTCGCCTGGTCCCTGAACGCATTGAATGCCCATGGACAACAATAGATTCTCGCACTGTTTGAGAACGTGATTAAAGCGGGTGCGGCCCTTATCCTTTTTGGCTGCCGCTTGAGTTGGCGCCGGTGCATCTTTATCCTTGGGCCGGACGCCACGAAATTGCAGCTCGTTACGTTTGGCTATTACTTCACTTTTCAGCTTGGGCGCAACTCCTTCCAACACAAACACTGGCGTCACCTGCTCCCAGATGAGATAACAGGTACGAAAGAAAAGATTTCTGTAAATGAATTTGTTTAATGAAAATATATATAAAGAAAAAGAAACATATGCATAACTTACTTCAAGTGATGCCGTGGATGCACAAAATAATCGACTACGTTGAGACTTTCGCACACCCATCCGGCCAGATCTATGGCGACCTTCTTGCCGCGGAGTTCACATATTGGCTTTCGCTCAGCATGTGGCGTTAAGATGCTCCACAGTTCCTTAACGCCCATTTAATTATTAAACACTAAATTAGCGCGTTAATTTCAAAATTAAAAACAAGCAGCATTGCTGACAGTCACGGGGAACGCGTACAGCTGACTGGCAAATTTTGGACAGTCACACTCGGTGCTTTGTTTTGACATTTGCACATGTCCATTTGACTGTCAGTGTGCACTTCTTCTTCGTGTTCGACATTTGACGTGTCAGAGAAAATCAAAAGTGAACTCGTTTTCAATTCGCATGTTTTGTTTTGCATATAAGGCAACTAAATTAAAACTCACGCCGCTGCAATACAGTTAACATACCACATAAAACGCCAAGATGGTTTTAGCAGATTTAGGACGAAAGATAACGACGGCGCTGCACTCGCTCAGCAAAGCCACCGTCATTAATGAGGAAGCCCTAAGTGCGATGCTCAAAGAGATATGCGCCGCCCTGCTGGAGGCTGATGTAAACATCCGGCAGGTGAAGCAGCTCCGCGAGAATGTGCGGGCCGTCATCGACTTTGATGAGATGGCCGGGGGATTGAACAAACGCCGCATGATACAGTCCGCCGTCTTCAAGGAGCTGATTAAACTGGTGGATCCAGGTGTCAAGCCATATCAGCCAGTCAAAGGCAAGGCCAACGTTATCATGTTTGTGGGCCTTCAGGGTTCCGGCAAGACAACAACATGTACTAAGCTAGCCTATCACTACCAGAAACGCAACTGGAAGTCGTGCCTCGTCTGCGCGGACACGTTTCGTGCAGGTGCCTATGATCAGATCAAACAAAACGCGACCAAGGCGCGGATTCCATTCTACGGCAGCTACACGGAAATCGATCCTGTGGTCATAGCGCAAGAGGGCGTAGACATGTTCAAGCGCGAAGGATTCGAGATGATTATTGTGGATACATCAGGTAGGCATAAACAGGAGGAGTCGCTGTTCGAGGAAATGTTGGCGGTATCCAATGCCGTCAGTCCCGACAATATCATCTTCGTGATGGATGCCACAATTGGACAGGCTTGCGAGGCTCAAGCCAAGGCCTTTAAGGAGAAAGTTGATATCGGTTCCGTCATCATTACAAAATTGGACGGTCATGCCAAGGGTGGTGGCGCCCTGTCTGCTGTGGCTGCCACTCAGTCCCCCATCATCTTCATTGGCACGGGCGAGCACATCGACGACTTGGAGCCATTCAAAACGAAACCTTTTGTGAGTAAGCTGCTGGGTATGGGTGACATTGAAGGACTGATAGACAAGGTAAGTTGTGTACAACATCTACGTAAATACTGTCTAACAAGCCAACTTACTTGACAGGTGAACGAACTGAAATTAGACGGCAACGAGGAGCTGCTGGAGAAGATTAAGCATGGTCATTTCACCATACGCGACATGTACGAACAGTTCCAGAATATCATGAAAATGGGACCCTTCTCACAGATCATGAACATGATACCCGGATTCTCACAAGACTTCATGACCAAGGGCGGCGAGCAGGAGTCGATGGCGCGCATTAAGCGCATGATGACGATGATGGACAGCATGTCAGACAGTGAGCTGGACAACCGTGATGGGGCCAAACTGTTCAGCAAGCAACCCACACGTTGCATACGAGTGGCACATGGCGCCGGTGTCATTGAGCGCGAGGTTAAGGAGCTGATTGCACACTACACGAAATTCGCAGCGGTCGTCAAGAAAATGGGCGGCGTTAAGGGTCTGTTTAAGCAAGGCGACATGACGAAAAATGTGAATCCCACTCAGATGGCCAAGCTCAATCAGCAAATGGCCAAGATGATTGATCCCCGCATGCTGCAGCAAATGGGCGGCGTTGGTGGGCTGCAGAACATGATGCGACAGCTACAACAGGGCGCGGCGGGCGGCCTGGGCGGGCTGGGGAACCTGATGGGCGGCTTTGGTGGCAAATGAGAAAGGCCATCTTATATGTAAAGATTTTTGTATGATTTTGTTTTTAAATAGTTCGGTTCTTAGCATTAATTTGTTAACGGTTTGCAAGCGCGACAATTATCCTTGTTTCCATGGCGATATCCTCTTGTTTGACCAAAATCAATTACAATTTGTGAAAATAGTGGTAAACAGTGAACGAAATCTATGTAAAACAGTTAACAATTCTAGTTAGCGGTCTTCAGTTTTTGTACGGTTTGGTATACAGTGCTCTGCAGTCGCAAGATTTAAGCTAAGTTTTTATTGTTTAAAAAACAGTCTACTGTCAACGAACAACTAAAATTGCATGCATAAGACTCCGTACGGAAATGAATTGAATAAAAAGTATATAGAAATTCATAAAATCATTGTTTTAATATCAATTACTTAAGTCGTTTTTCTCTTAAGTGGATTTTCTTTGTGTTGTGGCGCCATCTATGAGTCGCCTGTATATGCACTTGCGTAGAGCTGCCAGACTGTCTGGTCGCCAGCTCAGGGAATGGGAAAAACATACGCGGTTTGTGTTTCAAATATATTTTATAATTCCTTATTCATAAAATATTCTGGTATATAAGAAAGAATGTTTACAGTTGAAAGAAAAAGCAGAAGGTTGTGTGCATAGCTTGTATAGCCTGTGTAGACACTATGCAGGGTGTTCACTGCATTCATAATGTCGTACACTTTTAAATATGCCTCTAACAATGCCGTCGGTTACGTCGCACACATACAAACAACTATTACAAAAAACAACAAATGAACAGGCGAACAGAAACTTGTTGAAAGCAACTCAGCAAAAGCGTCATAGCAAAAGCGAGATACACAACAAAATAACGGTAAGCAAGTAAACAAACAGGCACACAAGCACAAAGCTGTCTGCATGTGGCTGTGTATGCGTGTGTGTGTGTGCTTGCGTTGTTGTTGTTCTTGTTTTTATTGCTTTGTCATAGTGGAGGGGAACTGGCGCTCGCACAGACACAACCACACGCATGCCGGTGCCGGTTTACAGCAGCCAGCCTTGCGTCTGTAACAACACAATCACACACGCACACAAACATACACATACTTATAGGCCTGTGCGTATGTAGGCTATGTGCATACATACATACATATGTATGCCTGGGAGACGGTTGATGGGGGGTAGTGGGAGCTTTACTGGCGGGTCTGCAGCATCCCTTGCGCATTGTGCGTGGGCATGTGACACATACATACACACTTGGTTACAAGTTACATTCACCCTCTCATTACAATAACAATGAAAATGCGATTGCTGTCATAAAAGCGTCTATTAAGCTGTCAAGTTTTGACACTCATAAAACCATCAAACAAGTCAAACAAACAGGTTCACAGCAAATGTTGTAGGTTGAACTGCTGTCAACATTTTTCGGTTCTTCCTTGCGGTTTACGCACACACTGCCATGCGCATACACACACCTACCCACCTACACACACAAACACATACACACACACACACACACACAGGCTTGTATGCGTATTTGGCTGTGCTGTCGGCTTTCATATTTTGCTACCGTTTAGTATTTCAGGGCAGTTCCGGCTGGCAGTGATACCGGGTCCGGCATAAAAGCCTGGGAACTGTGTGGAATTATCCGTGTTACCATCAGCCCACGCTTTGTGGGTTTTAATTGCTGGCTTAAATTGGGGTTGGGTTTGTGGGTGCTAAGGCAGCAACCCCCAGGTATTTAAAGCAGCAATAAACCAGTTTGTGCTTGGCAAGTATTCAACGATTTAAAATTGGGTAAATCCCATTCCTCTGGCCTGTTAGCAATACACTTTCTGCGTTTCTCATACTTGTTTCATGGTCGCCCAGTTTAGGAATAAAATATTTTCTATCGCTTCCTACGACTTAAATTATAGCCTTAAAGCTGAATAAGTCTCATCTTAGTTCTGTGTATTTTCCTTTCCCTATATAAGTATTTTCTTCGCCAGCAAAGCTCTCCTAACGCGCACTTTGAAGAAACTAACCCGGAAAATTCAACCTAGTTTATGCACATGGCTATAACTCGGTTAAATAAAGTCCGAGCTGGAGAATATATGAATTTATAGACTTGTGAAACTCTATAAAGCAAATAGAATCACAGTTGTTCAAATTCAATATTTGGAATTTGTTTGTTTTTCAAGTCCATCCACAGACGTTATCAAAAGTGGGAATATAATCTAGCCAGAAATTCAATGTAAAACGCAAATGGTATTTGTTTTCTTACAGAAAATCAATTTGTCTTTTATTGATTCAGAAAAAGTTCAGTTTCTTTTTTTTTTTTGTTTTGTGTTGTTTTGTTTTGGATGACAGCATTTGCTCTTTAGTGTTTTTTAAAGAGACATTTTACTTTGTATGTTCTTTACTTTAATTTCTTCTTTGTTTTTGTTTTTGTTTTTTTTTTTAATCTTTTGCTATTTTCTGTTTAATGCTTTGCTGCTCTGCACTTCTTTGCCGCACCTTCTCAATATTTGCTCGGTTCTGCACTTTCATTTCTTTAAACTTAAAATTAGATTTAATTTTTTTTCTTCTTTTTTTCAACTAGTCTTACTTTTCTTAAGCGAAATAAGCACAAAAGCTGCAAAATGTTTTGCTTAAACTATTTTTTGTTTTTCATTTAATAATTTTTTTTTGGTTTTTGTTTTGTTTTATTTTTATTTTTTTTCAACTGCATCTCCTTGGCTCCAATTGTTTTTTAATGTATGATTTTTTGCATTAAAGTTCTGCGCACAAAAAGTACGCATATAAATTTGAAAGTTTTAGCAAAGTTTTCGCATTGTTTCTTATATTCTTATACTTCTTTGTTTTGTTTACTGTGTTGTTGCTGTCTGTTAGCTTTTTTACTAGTTTTAAATACAATTCTTTTCCATATGCATATAAAAAATGCTTAAAAGCGTCACATTGATGCAAAAAATAATACCTTAAAAAATACACGGAGATTCGAAAGGGTTTTGTATTTTTTTTTTATAGTTTTTTCTTTTGGTTTTTGTTTTTTTTTGTAGTTTTGTTTTGTTTTTGTGGAGAGTTACAAAGAGAGATATAGTTGCCAGTTAACGCGTCTAAGCGTTTCACGTTTATCGTTTACAAGAGAAATGAATTAAGTTCTTTAAAAGACTTTGATTTAAAACTTAAAAATAGCAACAAGCGAAATTTACATTACTTTGCGCCCGGCTGACCGCTGATGTTTTTGTTTTTCTATCATTTTTTTTTGTTTTTGTTTTCGTTTTTATTTTTATTTTCTTCTAAGTTTAATTAGCTGCTTCTCTGTGCTAGCTTTGTTTTACGTTTACTTACAGCTACTTTTACGCTTTTGTCGTCGTTTTTGCTTTATTTTCTTTTTTAAATTTAATGAGCTTGTTTCTTGACCTTTCACTACCTTTCGCTACACCTGCGGCGATGTTGTTGCTGTTGTTGTTGTTGTTGTTGTTGTTGTCGCCCGATTTGCCTAACGTGCTGCATTTATTACAACTCCTTCTTTTACCTTCCATTTGCTTCTTCAAGTTTCTTGTTGTGTGTGTGTCTGTGTGTGTGTGTGTGTGCTTTTATGCATTTATTTATGTATTTCTTCTCTCATTTTTTTTTGGTTTTGTCAAAAAAGTTTCAAAAAAATATATATATATTCATCATTTCCTTAAATTGGCTTAATTAAAAAATGTTTTTCTCATTTATGCTTTTTCATTTTCACTTTGCTTCCAGCCGCGCTTAACAACTCAGACTTGGATGTCTAAGTTTTGCCCTTTGTTTAAAACACAATTCAATTAATTTAAAATTTGTTATTGGAAACTATTTGGTGTAGGGTGAGTGTTAATTAAGCTTACTCTCAAATTTATATATAGCAAACATTTAACTACTAAGAAATCACACACGAATCGGAAAAACAAATACAAATCCAAACAAACAAACAAACAAGCAAATTATGTCAAACACAAAACTTAAATGAAAAACAGTTTACAATTTTATTTTATATATATTTTTTTTGGTTTTTTTAGTTTTTTTTATTCAAAGTTTTTTTTTGTTGTTTAGTTTTCAGTTTTACGCACTAGACATTTGCTTTAAAAAGTACTTTTCAACACAATTTCATCAATTTCAATTTAAATTTCTGTTCCGTTTCGCTCGGTTTCTGCCAAATTTCAACTTGAGCGCATTCGGAAAACTTCAAGGTTTTTCCTTCTTATGCGGTTGTTGTTGTTACTTTTCTCTCTCTTAAGACAAATAATAAATTAACTACTTAAAATTAGTTAAAAAACTAAAGTAAAACGCATTAAATTAAAACAAAATACAGACGCAAAACAAACAAGTTTTAATTTTGGCTTGTCAAAGTAGAATCAAAAAAAGTTCAAATCAAAAAAATAAAAACCTTTGCTCGCAGCGGCAGGCCTTAATAGCTGCAGCGCACTGCTCGCCAAGTCAGGCAATCGATCGATCAGTTTATCGATTGATTATCGACTGTATATGCAAAATTATAACTAATCCGAACTTGACGACGCGCCATTTACCAACACTGTAAAGTCTCTCGCTTTCCTCGTTCTAACTACACAAAAACTACAAACTTCTAAACCTCCGTTCGTCGTCTTCGTCGCATTCGCCTTCCACTCTAACCAACTAATTAAACGCTTGCGCGTTTCTACCAATTAAAAATCATATTTTCTACATCATCTACTCGCCCATTCTACTGTTTCTGGTTCTGCTTCCGCCTGCTGTCCTTAATCAACGCAACACTTCTTGTCAAATCTATACTTAGCTCTGCTAAACTTAAACGCTAGTGCTTTGATCTTAGTTACTAAGTTGTTGTTGCTGTTGTTGTCTCTCCTACTATTTCTACGCCTACTCCTACTCCTACTCCTCCACAATCTTCGTCAACTTTATATTCTTCTCGTATTCTTTATAATCATCTACAACGTGTGTGTTTTATGCTCTTGGGGATTTTGTAGTCTGCCCCGTTCTTGGCTTAAAACTAGGGTTTCTAAACTTTTGCAGCTAAGATTTAAATTTCTTGCCCCTTCTTTATCTACTTTCTTCTCATATCCTTCTCGTTATAAATAACCTAAACTTTAATGTTTTTATATTTTTCTGCCTAAAAACAGCGCAAAAATGTTGATTAAGTTATGTTCGCTAAGAGTTGAAACAAAACGTATTTGAATGTAAAATACAAATTTCATAAATAAATATTTGAAAACAAATCGAAAATTGCACTTTGTGTAGAGATAAAGAGTATAGAAGTAAGGGGCGGGGCGGGGGGGCTGAGGTGAGGGCTAAGTAAAGACAAATGTGAGCATGAAAACTCAAAAACAAAACTCTTGAAATTTTGTTGTATTTGTGATTTTTGCTTGTTTATCAGTTGATTTTTCTAGTTTCGGTTTTATTTGCAGAGGCGTCTCTTGTTATTCTTCTGCTATTAAAAATATTCAATTTGTGTACAAAATTTGTTAAGTTCTTTTTGCTTTTGGAATGTTTTTGCAAAATTCTTGCCCCATTTGCTGGATTCGGCTGGCTTTTTGCTACTCTGACGACGACGCTTGCAAGATTTGAGATGTGTGTATGTGTGGGTGTATGTATGTGTGTGTGTGTGTGCGTGTGTATGTCTGTGGGGTTTGTCAATCCTGCATTTTCATTGAATTCATTTTCTTTTTATTGTTACAGTTTTCATTTTGGTATTCAGTCTAAAGCAAATTACATATTGTACAAATTAAAAAAAAAGAGTAGAAAAAAAAACGTTTTTTTTAAAATCATATTTGATAATAGTTGTTGTTTTTATGTGTATAATATTGATAAGAAAACATGCACTGCACTTTTGTTTTGGTTTAGGCTTAGGAAGACTTTTGGCGTTGTGTTTTCATTTTGTATTTATATATGTAGATTTCATAGATTGTTAGCGTATAGGCATTTAGACTTGACAATCAATCTATATGAACCGAAAACACATACATATGTAGTTAACATACATACATATGAAAATCAAAGACTTTGCTCAGGAATGTTTGTTTGTGTGTGTGTTTATGAGAGTGTGTCTTCTCTCTGTGTGCGTACGTGTGATGTGTGGGTGGAAAATGAGCGCGAACAATGAAATGATGAATCCCTACTGGAATCTCGCTGAATCTCAAACACTCTCGAATAAGTAACACTCAACACGCTCTGACTATCTCTCTCTCTCTCTCTCTTTTATTCTTTCTGTCTGCCTTTCTCTGAGATTCTCAAAGCCACTGAACTCACTTTAAATCGTTTATGTATCAATATTTGATTCAGTTAAATCACAAATACAATGTGTGTGTGCTTAGGCGTGTTGTGTGAGAGTGTGTGTGGCGTGTGGTGTTTGGTGTGTGTTTGTCTGATTTGTCAAAGAAAATAAATACGCAAGGCTTTAATTTCAAACACTGTGCTGTCTGTATGTCTGTATGTCTATTGATCTATTGATCCAACGATCCATCAACCCATCGACTATTTTTTAAGACTTACAATTAGAGACTAAAGAAATAATCGCTGCTGCATTCTCTTTTTCTATTGTTTTTTCTTTCTGTCGTCTTATTGCTATTTTGTTAATCATAAATTTTCTTTTAAATTTATTTTTTAACATTAATTTGCTTTGTTTTTTGCTTTTATTTCTGCTACTGCTGTGCCTTCTCTACTCTTGCCTGTTGTTCGTCATTCTTCTCCAATCAATTTAAAACAGTTCGCATCCTTTTCCACTTACAGATTCACTACGTTTTTCACGTGCCACAATGCTAAACTACATTGCTACAATTTCATATCGGGTTTATCCCTACTACTTGCTGGTTTTTCCCATCTTTTATAAAGTGTGTATGCCTCATTGTTTGCCTTGCACTTTCAATTTATATTTCCTATGCCTATGCCGTCTCTCAACAACATCGTTATCATTATTTTCATGATAATCATAAACATCTTCATTCATTCCCGACTCTGCTAAACTCTGCTACAGCTTGTTGTTGTTTTTGTTGTTTGTTTGCAGACAAAAAATACGCTATGCTATCTTCTATCCTGCTGTTGCTCTTCTTCTTATTCCAATTATATATCTTAGTTTTAGTTACTAGAAAAAAACACACACAGTTAAACGTAAAAAACTGTAGACAGCTACAAAAAATTCATTAAATCGACTGATGAGCACAAAAATATGCTAAAAACTAGTACAAGATTTCTTACTTTTTGTTTATTTTGTATTTGTTTTTGTTATTTCTTCTTCATCAATTTCATCATCGTCTGTTGTGTTGCCTATTCACTTTCTTCATACCTATCATCGCTGATCCATCTTCTCTTCAATTTTTTTTTTTGTTAGACTCTAAATCTACTAAATTTGCTGCTTACTGCATTTTTGCTAGTACTTAAACCTAGTTTTTCTTTTTTATTTATTATTATTTAACTTTCTGCTGTTTGTTTTATAGTTTCAGGAAAAATTAGCAAAATGTGTGAAACGTTTGCAATTAACAAATAAATCTTTAAATAGTTGCAATGCCCATTTTTTGTGGGTTTGCATTTTTCTTTACAATGTCAACTCTTTTGTGGCTCTTCACGCTCTTTCGAGAGAGTAAGAGACAAAGTTCGCTCTCTTTGCTTTGTGCTTTAAACACTTGATTCTTAAAAATCTCATTCTCAGCATTCATTTTAAATAGTTTGCCTGACAATTTGAATGGAAAAAACATAGAAAACCAAAATAGTTTTCATTGTTTTTTTTTTTTGTTTTTTCATTTTCTTATGGACTATAGAAAATAAATTTATTCGCTCTTGCTTGAGTTTTTATGTTTTCATTTAATTTATCTTTTTGTTTTGTTGTAAATCATCAAATTGTTTTTATTTGCATTCTTGTTTGTTTTTATTTTGTTTTCTTCTGTTTTCGTTAATTTTTAACATACATTGCACACATTTTTTTTTGGGTTCTTCGGTTTTCATTTGCTTTGCTTCGTTTCTTCACAAATGTTTGTGTTTTTCTCTGCTAAAACATTTACATGCGCTGCTTTTCCCATTTTCTCTTTCAATGCAAGTTGTTGTTATGTTTGTTTTTGTTTTATTCCTTAAATAAATTTACTTAACTAGAGTTTTGCGTTTTCTCTTTTGCAAATTGTTGTTGCTTCAAGTTTATGTTTGCAGTTTTGCCGTTTTTTATATTATTTTTGTTTTCTTTTAACTTCTCTTCTAAGAAAATGTTGCCCCCTTCTGGTGAGTTTTTCCTGCTTTCAATGAAAATTTCGACCCCTTTCTACTACTACTTTCTCGTTCACTTTAGCTGTTGTTTAAGCATGTTTTTTTTTTACTGTATAACTAATTTCTATTATTTAAGTTTAGTCTTTGCTTTTCTTCACTTTTTTACGCTCTCCTCTTTACTCCGTTTCGCTCGCTCTTACACTTTATTTATGTATGTATTTTTCCTTCCTTTGTTGCTGTTTCTGCTGCTTTCTCTTTTATACATAACTCTTAATTCTCTTTCTCTAGCTTTTCTTTATTTTTTAAACATTATTTTTTTTAGGGAACAGCATTTTCGACTGTTATCAAACTGTTTCTGGTCTGATGAGGCCTTCTCCTTTTCCTTCTCCTTCTCCTCCTCTTCTTCTTCTTTTGCTTCCTTTTGTTGCTTTTTCCTCCAAGCCAGTGCTTTTGTTTTTGTTGTAGATGTTGTTGTTTTCATTGTTGTTATTCCAGCGCGTAATGCTCCCAAGGCTAACCCTCCATCACGTCCATTAAATAGTACTCAAATGGGGTACTAAAATATTATATCTGCAATTTTGGAAAATGATTAGTTTAGAATAAATTATGTGAATATTAAAAGTGAGGTTAGAGTGAACGGAAGCAGGGATTTCAGTAAATATATCTTATCTAAAGGAAATCTTTCTGATTATCAACGTTGTCAATGCTCTTTGCAGTCACATTTGGTATAAATATTATTTTTGATTGTGTATATAAAAAGGAGGTTTAGGGTAAGCGGAAGCTGGGATTTCAGAAACTATATCATATCTAAGAGAAAACTTTCTATATAGATTATCTTCATTTTTAATGCTCTTTTACAATAACCTTTGGTAGGAATATTATTTTTCTTTAATTCTTAAACACTTTTTTACTTCTTATATGATAAATATTTTGGGGAAACACTTTCACTTAAATCTAGCAAGGAAACTCATAGGGAATTAGGTAGGTTTAGCATGCAGGTAAGGGATGCATAATTGTTATTTAAGCATGATATGGATGATATTTACCTAGAATGTGTTACCAGTGTTTAGGCTGCTTAGTAACTATACTAAGTATGCAAGAAAGAGCGTAGTTTGTGATTGTTGTAGTTGCGGGCGCAGGAATAAAAAAGAAGTAGAAAATAATCGAATTGCGCTTAGTTATGAGAGTTAAAGAGTTTAAAAGTCATGATCAGATCTTGTAAGCAAACAGGCAAGCAACAACAAGCAGCACACAAAACGAATGAAGAGAAATATGTGTAAAAAGAAGAAGATGATAAAGCAAAATCACCAATGATTAGGAAATTAGAGAGAGTATTGCAAATGTGAATCGTGATTTGAAATGAGGCGAGTGAGTATTGAACAAGTGTAAGTGGGGAATGAAAAACTAAAGCACACAGCGCATGCAGCAAAACAGTGTTGGCAAACGTAAAGCGAACAACGCTCTAAGTGGGGTGGCCGGGCACAGTGAGTGCCCGCTAAAGAGGCCATTGCATACAACAAAGCACAACTAAAGCAGATGAATGAAGGCTCTATGTCAGGGCAGAAGGATCAGAAAGCATTTCGAGACGTGGACTTAGTAACAGACGGAAGAGACTTTGACAAATAGACACAGAGAGAGAGAGAGAGATAGAAAGAGAGATTGAGAGAGAGACAGAGAGACATCACTCACCTCGCGAAGACCTATTTGGGAGCGGCTTGATGTGGATACTGTGTGTATGCCTCGTCGGGTGATGCAGCTGTGCTAGCCTGTTCGGAATCTGTCATTGGCATTGTTGGTATAATAGTTGGTGGTGGTGCATAATATGGATAAGTTGGACTAATATACTGTAACGATGGAGAAAAATTCTATAAAGGAACCGAAAAGAGAACGGAAAAAACAATGGAATAAAAGAACAGATATAGAATACAAATTATATATCAAATATCATTCAAAAATTCAATTGCAATTGCACACAAACACGCACGCACACATATATTGAGAATAGATGATGAACAGATATGAAGAGACGCACGCATCTTCAATGTTTTCTACATCTATTCAATAATGATCTAGATAATACTCATGCTTGTCTATATAAACATATATTCATATATCAGAGCTGAAAACCTATTTTGCAGCAAAAATAAATAATGTAAAGATCGCTTTGTAATTGGAACTATTCAGAAACCTGCACGGAAACTAGATTCGGATTTCCTCGTTTTGAGAATTTGTTTTGTTTTTTTGTTTAAAATACTTTTGAATATGGAATTCCCTAGAAGCCTCTTAGTTTTTTTGATGTAGATATAAATCAACTTCAATAATGGTATATATCTGTATATAGTATTTCTCGTTAAGCTGGAAAATACAACTTTCAGGCAAGGGCAAAAAAGGTCAATGGTTAAACCTTATGCATTTAACAATATCAAGGTATAGTAAAGAAGTAATCGATATCGATAAGGACGTAATCTATATCGATAAGGAAGTAATCGATATCGACATTTTCAGCTCTGATATATATGCATCCATGCATGAGTATTTTCTGAGTAGTTTTTCATTATATAACTGTTCAGATCGGACACCCGTTAGCACTTACAGAGTTGCCAATCTGCAGGGTGGCCAACTGTGGCATCATAGTTCCGTATGGCACAGCCGTGTCACCACTGACCATCATCGATATGCCGCGTGGTTGCACCTGATTAACAGCCTCCGGTTTGTACGAGGTGACGCCCAACTGGGGAGCGGCAGCCATTTGCATGTACTGCAGGGCAGAGGAGGAATACTGATAAATGTTGGGCATATGTTTGCCAAATACGGAATAATATGCAGCACTCACCTGATCATCTACCTGAGTGATCGGCTGTGTCATCATATAGCCGGGTATCCATTGCGAGCCAGCGACCGGATAGCCACCAACCTGTGGTGCCCCGAAACGGGAATAGGGCACACCAATGGGTGTGCCGACATTGACGCTGACGCCATTCTGTTGCATGGTCGGATCGTAGGCAACGGGTATGCCCTCGGCGGAGACATCGCGCCACGCGCGCGCATTCGGATCGGGCGTCTTGAAGAGATTCTTCTTTTTGGGACCGCCATCGGCGAATTTCACCAAAAGCGGATCTTTGGCACCCGGTATTGTGTTACCGTTGAACATTTGTATAATTTGTTCGCACTTCTCGCGGCTCTCCATGCGTGCAAAGCCAACGCCTGCAAAAGGAATATAGTATTAATAAGAGATTTATTATATATTATATCTAGCGTACGACACCCGAATTTGTCCTATTTATTTTTTAGACAAACCATCCACCCTTCACTAAATCTACAGTCCATGTATTAAAATTTATTAAAAAGTCAAATGGTTTATGATTTAAGAATTGCAATGAAATTTCCTTCTTTCCTTTCCACAATAGTTTTCCACCACATTTTCTACACTTACGGATAGAATCAGGTAACTAGAACAAACATTTCAGCCTTCTATCTCTAACGTTCAATAAGTCCGTCAGTCTATACATATAAATGGTTATATATATATATATATCTCTATAGACCTCTCTATAGACCGAGTTTTGCTTACCCTTTGAGTTCATTTGCTGATCACGCAATATTCTGGTGGAGACAACCTGACCATATTTCGCTAGCATTGCCTCCAGATCGGTTTCTTTGAAGTGTGGCGGCAAATTTGCAATATACAAATTTGTGGGATCCTGTTCCTGTTGCTGTGTAGTTGTTGGACGCATAGGATAGCAGCGTGTGTGTGTTGTTTGTTGTTGTTTGTTGTTCATAGTTGTAGTTGTTGTTGGAGGATCAATCGAATCAAGTTTTAGTTGAATTTGTTTCGTTTGTTTGAAAAATTGCACACAAAAATTGAACATACACAAACAGAAGCAGTTTTGGCAGAAGCGCATGTTGTATGTGTGTGTGCGTGGGTGTTAATGGAGTGTGTGTTAGGCGTGTTGTGCGTGTGTGTGTGGATGAGCGACACAGACGACGCATTATCAAAGAGAGAGAGAGGAGGAAAGAAAATTAAAACGTAAAATTTTGTCATTAGTAAAATTTTTAGTAAAATTTCAAAAATTTGCTGTTATTGGTAACTGGCTCTGTGTGTGTGTTTGTCTGTTGAGTGTGTGTTGCAGCGTGTGCGTGTGTGTGTGTGTGTGTTGTTTAGTGTGCCTGACTTAATGCTTATGTCCAATGTTGTATGTTGTTCATGTAATGCCAAGACCTAAAACATTGCTTAATTAAAATATGCCTAAAACACAAAACTAGCGAGTTTTTCCAAAAAAAAAAACCGCCAACAGACCTAAGTTATAGTAAGATATATACAGGCTGTATTGGTACAGTTAGTGTGAGAGATGTATGCGCATGTATGGAATGTATGTTTGTATGTATGCGGAATTGCCTAGTTATGCACTTAATTAAGTTAAATACCTGAGCACTTATGTATGTCTTAGTTTTAAGGTGAGTTTTCTTTTTTTTTTATACTTAGAGTTTAGATTTGGTTTTGTTTTTGTAGTATATATATTTCTTTTTTCTTTTATAGAGCTTAGTTAGTTTTTGGCCGGCGCAGGTTTGTAGCATTTTGCGTACTCAAACAACAAACTTGGTAGGTTGATTATATGGCTGGCTATAACTTCAAATATACGATTACAATTTATACAGTTTTTGAGAGATACATGTTATGCAGAGTATAAAGAGTTTATATATATAAAGAGAGAGAGAATTGGAAATTAAATGAGCATCAATTCTAAGTTATATTTGTAGCTAAGATATTAAATTGAGTTTACGTTAAGTTACGTTACGTTACGTTACGTTAGACTTCACACTGACTGTTTGTACAAAGAAAAATATATAATTATTTAATGAGCTCCTAAATGGCATCGATTTATCAACTATCAACTATCTATAGCTATAGTCGGTTATAAAGCTATTTGTTTTGATTTGTTTACGTGTTTACATAGCTATCGATTTTGTCCATTTTTATCTTTATACCAGCTAATCAATTGTTACGATATGTGTTACGAATCGAAGTATATAACATTATAATTTGAATTCCTCTATTCAGCTACTGAGTCTGACAGTCTATGTGGATTGTGTGTGTGGACCAAGTTGGGTTAGTTACGCAATTATTGACTTACTACTTAAATTCCAAATTATAAATGATATGTAACTAGGGTGTAATTATTGTATGTATTTGTATGTTATTACTGAACGAATACGCAGAAAACTGTTAAGAACATAAATATAGCAAGTTATCAATTTTATGTTTTTACAGCGAATACTTGTCAAACGGACTCTCCCTTTAGGCAGACAGCCCTCTTTGGGGGACATTTTATCATAAAGCAGACCATGCCCATTTACCCTCTATTAGGCAGACATTTAGACATTTAATCAGAGCTGGAATTCAGTGCTGAATCAAACCTTACCCACAATTCGGTTGAATTGTAATCCGAAACATATAATATTTTATATATATTTTTATACCCTGAACCTATTGAGCATGAGTAAAAAGGGTATATTGGTTTTGTGCAAATATATATAACAGAGAGAGAGAAGAACCTCTTCGAACCCATAAGTCCAATAGCCGAGTCGATCTACCCATATCCGACTTTCAATCCGTACGTCCGTGTGTATGTTTGATTAGATCTATCTCAGAACCTAAAACAGATTATGTTGTCTTTAATTTTATCCCCTCTTACAATGAGCTGCATTTGCTAATGGTGGAAGGTTCAGGGTATTCCCTAGTCGGACAGAGCGCTCTTGTTTTTGTATGCATTTGCAGCCCTATTTATAATCTATATCTAATTGCTGTAAAATTCGCTTTAATTTAATATTAATAAAATACTTTTTTTGAATATATGTCAGAAATACTAAAAAATTAAATTAAAAACTATTTTAAGTCTTTGATAAACTATGATTATATTGTTTGGGCGCAGTTTTCTATTCGTATAACCTTGCAGTTGCTTGCAGAACGGAGAAATCAGACTTAAGGTCCCTCGAGTTCTCAGATTTAGAATTCGGATTAACATTATGTGAACTGAAACTGATTGCATTTCTTTTGTTTATAATGCAACTGATCGGTCTGCTATATAAGCTAGCACAACAATAGTTGGCATATCTGCAAGGCTATATAAACTACGGCACGCCGAAGTTATCATCTTTCTATCTGTGCTAAGATAATACCTTGATGAACTGGGATTACGAGATGTTTGTACTTTCAACTAAGCGATACGTAACTACTACTTATAGATCTATTTATATTACACTAATTGAATGCCTGGCCACTATTGAAATGAAATTTGTTTGAGCAATTGTTGAAAATTAAAAATCGCTTTCAATGCAATTAATTTACCAACAAATCCGCTAAATTGTTATTAAATTTGCATTAATATTTCTTTCATGATATAAATATATATATATTTTTTTAATTTATATATTTGTTTTTCTGCTAAAGGAAGATTAAAAAGAAGGATTATAAATTGGCGTATTAACGTTTTTTGAATAATAATAAATACTAGCGAGAGAGAGAGAGAGAGAGGGGGGGGGAGCAATAATACAACCAAATCGAAATTAATGAATGACATTAATAAATGCATTTGGCTTCAATTATTATTAAATGTACACTAAATTAAAACGCATTTGAAATACGTATTTAATTGAACACTTTCGCAGCTAGACTCGATGAGCTCGATGAGGAAATATATCTACGAGGATATTTAAAATAATTTAAATAATTTCTTGTGTGGCTGCTTTTGATATATCCAAATTCTCAATTATGAATTAATAAACATGTTTAAGCTACGCTAAAAATGATTCATAGATGATTACTAAAGTTGGCTATAAATATGTACTAGAATATAAGTCGTGTATGTGGGGTGGGACTAAGTAGTATAATGGGGTTTATAGTATATAGTACGATATACGATATACAAGAGTCTTTTATATAGTTTAACAACACTACAAACTAGGGTTTTGGCTAAGGTTTGGGCGTGGGCGGGCACAGGTTTTGGGGTAGGTTTTGATTGAATTCAAAAAGAAACGAAAATAAGAGTTGTGAGATTTATAAAAATAATTTGCCAATTTATTTTGGCCGCACACATTTTGTGTGGGTGTTACAGAAAGTTCACTCAGCATCGCGAATCAATATAAATTTGCAAGCAATTCCGAACGGATTCAACCGACTCTTTGGCAATCTGACAGCACAAATGTGCAAACTTTGTGAAATGGAAATGCAAAGGGGGTCGCAGCAGGCAGACAAAGGATAAAATAAAAAGGAAACAACCCAAACTGAGTTCGCAGCTCTGGCGAATAACTTAAGCTCCGGCGTGGGCATATTGACCTTTACAGGATGCGCGTGGGCAGCTCCGAGCTCTGAGGGATGTGTGAAATAATGCAAAGCAAAATTATTCTCGATTCTTCGTTTGGGTTTGTGTTTGTAAAGGAATTTTATATATTATAGTATTTGCAAATGACTTTGCAGTCTAGTGTAAAGTTGAATCGAAAGTTCGAACATATAAAATTCTAAATTTGAGTAGGAACTTGACTTGAAACGCATTTGCAGACTGCGAAAGGATGACTTTCCATTTGAAAATCAGGTGCAAAAGTTGCCTGTTGCCACTTTGCAAATCCTTTTGAAGAGTTTGCAATAAAAAAGTCAACATAAAATATAAAAAAAAAAATCTTATAATAAAATTCGAAACATATTCTTAAATAAACTTAAAAACAAAAGCAATTTGAAGCACAGTGTAAACGAATAATAATGTTGGGTTAGTTGGATATTGTTAAATGGGTTTTAGTTCAGGGTTAGATACGGATTAGGGGGTTGGTGTCCCGGTCTAGGGGGTGGTTGGTGGTGGGTGGGTCGGATCGGGATAGGATAGTTTGCGGTGTGAGGGGTGAGTATTACTTGCATGCAAACAAACGTACAATGGCCGGCCTATGAAGCACCCAGATACCCACTTTGGCCATCTGAGCTTGCACGCCCTTCGCCTGCAGTCCCTTGACGGCGCCCTCAGCGTAGGCTGGCTGCTCGAAGTCGACGAAGCCGTAACCTGTAAGAAACATATTTTGTTTTTGTTTTGTTTTTGTTTTTCGTTTTGGTTTTGGTTTTGGTTTCGGTTTTTGTTCGTTTTGTTGCGTGAGTGTTTTTTGTTTTACAGGGGGGCGGAGGTGGAATTTTTTTAATTGCATGTTGAAATACATATATAAATATATATATAATTGTTTAAATAGTTTAAATATTATTAGATTTTTGTTTGCACACATTTTAGAAAATTTGTTTTTTTTTTTAATTCAAATATTTTTGCACGTGCAAAATAAGTTTAAAGAATGGAAAAACAATCAAAACAAAAACAAAATATATTCGAAAAGAATTTCGAAATAGATAAAAGAGAGATTGAGAGAAAGGTGGGAAGAGAGAGAGAAAATGGTAAAAATAAATTAATAATTTCTTGGCACATTATTTTGCTGTAACTTAAAGAGAGCAACAGGAAGTGTTACGTAAATAAATAAATAATATTATAAACTATAATAATTTGTATGCATATCAAAAGGGGATACAAAAATAAATAGAATTACAGAACAGATAAAGCCTTTCACATAAGACACACACACAATTTGTACAGCTCGTTATTTGTGGCACATTTTATATATATATTTATAAGAGCGGGTATTATCAATATAATTATCATTAGCAGTAATAATAATAGTAGTTATAGTTAATATATTTGGGATTAGAGTGCAGTAGTAGATAGGTGAATGCATGAATGATTCGATTGCGAAATGAGAAATATACGAAATTATAAACTCAAAAATCAAGAACTAATCAAATGAAAGCCAAAGAAGTTTAAACATACAACAAAAAATCGATAATTTTTTAGCTGCCAATCGATAATTTTGTCCTTTATCAATAAAAAAAAAAAAAAACATCAAAGTACCAGACACAAATAACGAGAACGAGCAATAAGATTTAAGCAAAATACTTCAGAAAACTATAAACAAATTAAATATGCCGAGTACTCAAGGGTTTTTTAACTTAACAAATATTTAATTATATTTTTTAAATATTTCTTCAACTTTATAGTTACTTTAATGAGCTCTATTTGCCAAATTTTACATTATTTGCAAAGCAAATATTTGATATATTATTATTTAAATCAGATTTCTAATATTTTTGGCAATAAGATGAACTCCTTGCGACCTTTGAGTACTGCGCATATTTGAAAACTTATAAAAGTACAAAAAATACGTACAAAAGAGAAAAGAAAACTTTGTAAGAAATCATTGATTAATTTGAATTTTGTTGTATTTGTATTCTTTTCTTTTTTTTTTTTTTTTTTTTGTTTTTGATTACATAACACATACTAATAATACATATACGAAAAACACACATAAATAAAATAATGATGAGAATGGTGAAGAAAAAAATACCTTTACATTTGTTTGTTGTTTTATCTAAAATAGCCTTGGTTGATATTATTGTTCCGTATCTGTAAGGGAGAGAAATAGAGTGTAGAAAAGGTAAAACAGTGAATTAGTGAGCGCAAAAAACATGCGTAAATCAGACGTAAAAATATACTACACGACTTTTGCATGTCCGCGGCGTGTGTGTGCGCGTGTGTGTGTGTCCGAGTTAACAGTTGTTTACATAATATTTAATTTCTGTCCTGCTGTTTGATTGTCATAAGCGGTGTGCGTGTAAGCCTTTAACTGGCCTGTTTTTCTATCTCTTTTGTTTTTGATGTTGGTTTTGTCTAAACGTCACGACAAAAAGATATAATAATAATAATTTTGGTTTCTAGGATACAATATATATATGTGTATATATATGTGGGCGGCAATTAAATAGTCATTAAAATGCAATATTTATGGCGCACGCTCAAAAGTAGGCAACGAATTATATTCGTGGCGCTGGAAATTGCTTATTTGTGCTTGGACCAGACGAGTCCTGTCAGGCAAATTAAATCGATATCAGCATAGTTACAGACATCAATAGGACACACACACACAGGCCGCACGCCCACATCTTTAGTTATAAGAATAAGCGCTTATATGTAGTTATAATAACATTAGAGTTTGCCCAGCGAATAAGCCGCTTATTTTGATTGCCTCGCAGTCAAGCAGCTGCAGCAGCAGCAGCAGAAAGAGAAAAAAACATAATAAAGGGTGGGCTTAGACGCACAATCCTGCCCAACCCAAGCCTTGCTACGCTAAAAAAAAGAGCAGCAGCAAATTAACCTTCAATTTAATTACTTGACTTATTAGGCAGCGAGCGGCCCCTTTCAGTTAAGACTGGACTCGTGTAAGCTCTCTAGCTGCCCCGCAGGACTTGACTTAGGCGCCGCCTGCCCCGTGGCTTTTTCATTATATTTTTATGTGCCTGGCATCTCTCTCTCTATATATATTTTTATGCATATTTTGTTGCTGGCCTAAATAAAGTGCGCAACGTTGCGTATGCGTAATATATAAGCCATAATGATTACCAAATGGTTGTAGTTGAAGTTTTAGTATTTGTTTTTATATATATTTTCTCGTGACCATTGATGAAGCGTGCGCTCTAATTAGTGGATTTTGTTTAGTTTTGCTTAAACCCGTTTCCTGCGAAGTAGAACGGGGCATACAAATATATATATTTGTTGGGGGTTGCTTGCCTCCCCCTGCCCCTGCCCCCTGACCGGATGGCGGGCGAGTGCTTGGGGCGCTGGTGTATTGAGTTGTATGTGGCCTTTGTAGAAATTCAACGAAGCGGAATGAGCTGAGGCTTAGCTGCTCATTAGCAGGCAGATCGGGAATGGAATGGGGCACAAATTGAATTTTAGCTTTGGGCCATGCTTGCAACAAATTTTGATACATTGGCCATAAGGCTAAGGGTTCGCACCACCCCAAAACATTTGGGCGGGCATAGTTCCAATAGATATACATTGAACAATTTAAATGCCAATCGATAAGCCGCAATTCTATTTAAATGTACACATTTTTCATGCAAACCGGGCTGGCATTATTAATATTTAAGCAGAATAGCAGATATGCCTATAAAGGATTGTTATTTGATTTACTGAGAAGGCACATCAATTAGTTAATGAAATAAATATTGAATTTATGTTCGTTTAATTTTATTGAAATCCCAATTTAAACTTTATTTGGACTTCTATATACAAAACTCAAGAGTTTCTCATGGCTTTATTTTATGGCTATCTTTTTGTCTATTCATGAAATTTGTAATAAGATATTAAGTACCCACATCCTTATGTAGTATGTATATATATATAGTTGTAATTGAATAGATGATACTCACTGTGCACACATATTGATCAGATCCTTATCGGTTGTGCCTTGCTGCAGTCCGCGTATATAGAGATTTGTCTTTGACAACTGCTCGCCGCCTTGTTGATTTTGATTCTGTGCCGTGCCGTTGGGACCCATTGTGGTGTTTGTGTTTGTCGTGTTGCTCAGACTGGTGCTCAGTGTGCCGCTCTGGGAGCCCGTGTTCGATGAGCTGCTCGAGTTCGTGTTGCTCGGTGAGGCTGCAGTCGGTACACGCTGGCCGTACTGGAGTTCAAAGAAAGAGATAATAGAATAAAGTATAAGTGAGAGCGAGCGAGAGAGATGGAGCGCATTGTTGTTAGATTGACAACAAACTGTCCACAATATGCACACGCAAATATTCAATGCTTTCCCGATTATATTAAGCGATATTTTCAATGTATGTTCCACAGCTTTGTGTCTCTCTGTCAGCATTTATATGTGTGTGTAGTTGTGCGCGTGTGTGTGCATGTGATAAAGTATTTTTATTGAAATTCCAATCAGGCATACGAAGTTATTGAATGGCTGAGAGCTCAACTCAATGCCATACACACATAAGCCCACACATATATACACAATGCACAAAGCATATGCCATATGGATGTGCATATGCATGTATGGGTAGTCGAAGTATAGTTGGCAAAGGATACACAGAAGGATATGCAGCGAAAGGCATGTGGACCAAAGCTGTGTTGATGGCGTTTTTCACTTAAAATGCCACAAAACAGTGCAAACGCTTCTGAGAGCGTGTCTCTGTGTGCGTGCGCGCATGTGTGTGTGTGTGTGTTTGCATATAGCACAGCACTGCAGGATATTTGGCAGCATTGCAAGGCAAGCGTTGAAAATCCATAAAATTTGTATGCAACATACAGTAGCACACACACATCGACACGCACACACACACACAACTGGCTCTTGATACACTTATATTTTGTAGTTTTTTATTGTTTGGAAATTTGCCAAAAATAAAAGGCTAACTGTATTATTTTAGCAAAAAGAACAACCAAAATCTGCAACAGTAAGGATTAAAAAATATATGCCTTATAAAAATGAAGTGCAAATAAGTGCCGCCTGCGACGCCCCTTCCTTAAAGCGATTGCAATTTTCTAATTGTTTTCGTTATCGATTTTGTGCCTCCAGTTGCGATTGCAACACGAACCTTATCTTGTCGTGTCTAGTGTCATGTTAGCTGCCACATTTTGTGGCATTCAATTCGGCTCGCAGCTGTTGCAGCTGCGGCCACGGCGATAAGCGTTACAATTAAAAACCGCAACACAAAAAAAACAACAGGGGGAATACAATTTATTATATTTAATATTTTAGGAACCAACCGCAAAATATTTAAATTAAATTAATATCATGCTTTTTTTGTATTATTTATATTTTATTACGAATTTTAATTCGTATCAACAATTTTGAATATGTTGCTTTACAATTTTTTCTTATATACTATAGAGTGTAGCATGGCAACGCCCTTAGTAATACGGGGAAATTTTATGTACCAGGCCATATGGCATATATGAGTATGCAGAAATTCTCAAGAGAAGTCCCAAATTGTATTTGAGTATCTCTCTCTAGCTCTCCTTACGCAAACCGTCAGAAAAGTTAAGACTTGACTTTATGAGAAGCGCATAGAAAGGCTATTCGGTACAGAAAGTATTAAGCTAGTGAAAGACGTGCCAGCAGAAGCTAGGAGAGTAAGACAGTAAAAGTTAGCAGTTAAGCATAAAAGGGAGGGAGCATCTCAGCCTGTATAGTCTTGCTTAGCTTTTAAGCATGTGTGAAAAGTTTGATTGACAGTCGAGTTGTTGTTGTAATTGCTGATGCTGCGTGATTTTGTTGCGATTTGTGTGATTGTCAAACAGAGATGGCGAACAGCTGAAATTTGCTTTATCAATAAAGTACAAAAGGGGCGTAGCAGCGAGGGGCTGCCAATGGGGTTATATATATGGTAAGAAGGCAACGCCTACACGCTTCACATAATTTCCTCTTTTATTTATTTTACTTCTTCTTAGACAATTTCCCCCAGCATGTGATGAGGAGCATTGAAGCGCGAATGTAACAGAGCAAATATTGTGAATGCTGATAAAATATTTGATACAAGAAGCACAAGGCAGGGCAGAGTTGTGTGTGAGAGAGAGAGAGAGAGAGACAGAGAAAGAGAGAAAGAGAGAGAGAGAGAGAGAGAGAGAGAGAGAGAGAGAGAGAGAGAGAGAGAGATGCAAAGAACTGGAGACGAGACGAGTTCAAGTGCGAGTTCATTTCTTTTGCACAGTTTTGTTATCTTTTCTGCCAGCGTAAGTACTTGTAATACATATACACAACACACACACACACATCCACAGTTTGTGTGAACACTAGAAGAGCTCGGGCTCACAAACTTCTCGCAATTGTGTATAAAACAATTTTCGGGCCTTGTCGTTTGCCATGTTCTCGCTGTCTCGTAATTAAATAATAAATTAAACTGAAAAATCGTATATGCTGGGGCTCAAGCATGATGACTATTTGCATGTATGTATATATACAAACAAATGTATATATGTGTGTGTGTGTGGCCTGACACATTCATACGCCCCGTATGCCAATGAACTGAACGCTGTTTTTTCTGCCGTCTGATAATGAAATTATATCGTTCGCATTATTTAAAGCGCACAGCAACAAGCGCGAATGGCATAAACTAAACACACACTAACGTAAACACACACACACACACACACACACACACACAAACACACTCACATACATATACACACCATTCCATATGCATGTTTGCCTATGTATGTCATTCCAAAAATGGGCGAGCGTCGTGTTGGCTGCCGTTTTATAAAATACAAAAAGTTTCTTCATTTCTTTTTTGTTATTTGCAAAATTGCGTCATTTGCAAAATATTTCACGCCGCAGCAGCAAAAACGACAATAAAGAAATAACAACAACAACGCATCAAACTCTACTCTCTTTTTTTGTAAGCTGTTTTGTTAACTATCTTTGGCTTCCTAACGCGGCTCATTCTCCGCCCCCCTCTTCCGCTCTTGCGTTTCCCGTGGTGCGTGGCGAACACGTGTGCTGACGACTTTAACTTAATTTTTCACAGTTTATTACACTCTTACTTCTCCATTTCTGCTTCTTGTTTAAGCTCATATTTGGTTTAATTTATAAAGTTTTAGTTACCATTAACCTTTCGCTATTATTTATGTGGCTTTCATTTGACGACTTTTGAGTATTAGAAAGGGAGATAGACAGAGAGGCAGAGTGGGGGACAGAGACAAAAGCCAGCAATGATGATAAAACTACAATTTGATGTTATGAGCTAAACATTTTGATTGCCTCCATCCAAATAACAATGTTAATAATCACGTTAATAATGACAATAATGATTATGCTGGTGATATGGCAAACGGATGTCAATCACGCAAGTGCAAACAGGCTAAGAGACTTTTTGCTCTACTAAAGGTAAAGCCAGTTGCTAAACATGTTTAACGAGTCACATATGTGCGATTTTTAGTGGTTGCTTCTGTTTAAACTTAAATGATGACTAAAGTCTGGTAAAGGAAGTTTAACAACGTTTGTTAACACTAATAACTCGCTTACTAGCACCAAAATAAATAATAACTTCTTAAAGAGTTAGCTATGCGATTTTAGCAAATTCTTTAAATATTTGCTATTGTTTATATTATGTATATAAATTAAATGCATTATTTGTCATGCCAGATTCCATTAGAGACATACATTTAACAGTGAATTTTTATAATTTACCAACACTCTGGCAATCCAATAATGTTCTTAATGGTATTTCCTAACACTAACGCTTTTCAGCAACATTAATCTCATTTACTAACACCAAGCTTTACATTTCCTTAGTTTTACTTTCTTTGATTAACTTAAAAGTATTTTCACTGACGTTGCTTATATTATTGGACATAAGCATAACCTATTTTTATTTAGTTTCGTTTCCAACACTTTTAGACTTTGACTTTACATTTAGTTTAGCTTTATTTCTAGCCACCTGGCATCAATCTTTAATGCAGCTTGCACAAGTCAAATGTACCATTCCATTAAGATTAAAACCAGTGCCCATTTTTTTCTCCCCCTCTATTTTTTTTTTTGCGTGTCCAGTCTTTGGCAGAAATGGAACCCGTTTCGAGTCACGTGCCAAAAGTGCCTCCAGTAAGCAACCCAAAACATCAAATACAGAGCATAACACCACACAGAGCAAATACAAATGGACTTATTTGTGATTTATGATGTCGCCGACATGAGCGCCATATAATTCATTTAAGCAGCGCCCGTTGATGTCTTCCCTACTCCTGCCCCCCTCCTTCTCTCAGCTCTTTCTCTAAAGAAGCTCTTTCATTCTGTCTCTCGCTCTCTTGATGTCTTTGCTAATAAATCAAAGGGGCAGTCGCATTGCACTTGTGCCAAAAATATATATACCATAACCATAAATCCACTCAATCACGATTAGCGACAGTTATTATTTGTCCCGCTGTCAACCCGTTGCCGAGCTGTGTCTTAAAGTTGAGATACAGCTGAGGCAAATATATATTTAAACATGGTTTGGCAATTGTTAAGACTTGGTTGCTGTTGACTTTTGGGGCTAGGCAAATCTCTTGGTGACTGCCAAAGTCATCAAATCAAGAAGCAGTCAGCTAAATCCGGCACGATTCGTCTTTTCGACTGATTGCGATTCTTGAGGGTGAGATATGACAGGGAGGGAGGGGGGGAGGGGAAAACACTGTGGTTCGGAGGTGTGGGCGTCGCTCTGTGTGTGCATAAAAAATGCCGCTCACGTGACTTCTATAAATTAAATGCGTATGTGAAGGGTAGAAACTGGTATCTGGTACGGTACAGCTGATAGATGGGCCATGCAGGAAGGAAACCCTGGCAGTCAGAGCTGAGAGATACAGAGACAGGAACGAGCCCTCTAGACCCCGGCACGGGCTAGTCCTGCCTCAGCGATACCAGAATTTGCCATTGGCGAAACGCATAATTGACGCAAGTCATGTGCAAAGGACGGGCTGCGTGTGGTGGGGGGAGGCAAAGGAAACTCGCCTGGCAAATAATTCAAATGCCTGCCGTGGAACGCGAATTTCGGATTATCAGCCCATGACGCGGCAGGTGGCAACTGAACCGAGGGCATGCAGCGGGCACAGGCGCTGTAATTTTTCAAATTCTGCTCAACATAATCCGCATAAACGAATTCAACTCTCGAATCTGGCATGTCAGCAATCGATAAAAGTAAAACCGTA